AGATCGACTTTTTGCACGCAGCGAAGTGTGCCATCTTCGTCAGCCTATCCACGACGACCATCACCGCGTCGTTACCCCCAGGGTTCGAAGGTAACCCTGTGACGAAGTCCATGGTTACTTGCTGCCAGGCGCGTTCGGGCGGTGGGATCGGCTGCAATTGACCCGCCTTCCGCTTCCTTGAACTCTTCATCACCTGACACGTCGGGCACGAGCCCACGTGCTGCTGTACGTCGGTCAACAGCTCCGGCCAGTAATAGTACCGCTGCAGTTGCTGTCGCGTTTTTTCTACCCCGAAATGTCCCGAGGTAATCCCGTCGTGTGCCTCCTGTAGTAGCAGCTCCCTCAGTAGTGAGTACGCGGGTACCCAGATGCGGTTGGTGCCTGCTTTTACGTAATAGACTCCTTTTGCTTCTGCCAGTTGCTGTGAATTTCCGGTCGTGAAAAATGGGTCGGTGCGGTATCCGTGGGTGAATAGGCCAGTTAAAAGCGGGTTGGTCTGGGCGAGTAGGATGGCATGGAGTTGGGCGGTGGGGCGGGTGAGAGCGTCGGCGATGTTGGATGCACCCCTTTTGTACGTAACGGTGTAGTGAAAATTGGACTCGAGATAGTCCAACCAGCGAATCTGTCGTGGGTTGAGATTTGGTTGGGCGCGAAGATACTGTAGTGAGCGGTGGTCTGTCCGTACTGTCACGTCGGCGCCAGTCAGGTAACATCGCCAAACTTTGAACGCGTGCACGATCGCTAGCATCTCGCGGTCGTGTATTGGGTAGTTACGTTCGGGCGGGTGTAACTTGCGGGACTCGTACGCGATTGGCTGGAGGCCGTTCCCGAAATCCTGCAACAGTACTGCTCCCACAGCGATGTCACTTGCGTCGGTGACGAGCTCGAACGGACGGTGGGGATCTGCAATGTGAAGGACGGGCGGGGAGCACAAAATATTTTTGAGGGCCGAGAAGGCAGCTTGCTCTTTCTCCCCCCACGTGTACTCAACCCCCTTCCTCAGCAGGTCAGTCAACGGGGCAGTCAGCTTCGTCATGTCGGGGACGAACCGGCGCACGTAGTTGACGAACCCCAGGAAACTCTGCAACTCGGTCAAGTTGGTCGGCGCGTGCCAAGCCTGAATCGTCGCAATTTTCTTCGGGTCCTTTTCCACTCCTGCAGCTGAAATAACATGTCCCAAAAACTCCAGGCAGTCCTGTAAAAACTCACACTTAGATGCTTTGGTCAGTAGGCGGTTCTCACTCAGGATTTTAAAAACTGCTTCGATGTCTTGTAAGTGCTGTGCTCTGTCAGGGCTGTAAATCAGTATGTCGTCCAGATAAACGATGACGCACTTATCTAAAAGCGGGCGGAATGCTTCGTTCATGGTCATTTGGAAAGTGGCGGGGGCGTTGGTCAGTCCGAATGGCATGACGGTGTATTCGAAGGATCCGTAGCGTGTTCGGAATGCGGTTTTATGGCAGTCGGGTGGGTTGACGCGGATTTGGTGGTAGCCTCCTCGGAGGTCGATTTTCGAGAAAACCCGGGCTGTGCGCAGTTGGTCGATCAGTTCGTCGGCTCGTGGGATGGGGTAACGGGATTTGATGGTAACCCTGTTCAGTGCCCTGTAGTCGATGCACATGCGAAAACCCCCGTCCTTTTTCGGTGTGAACAGTATTGGTGCGGCGAAGGGCGACGAACTAGGGCGAATGAATTCCTTTTCGAGCAGGTAATCGAGCTGCTTCCTTAGTTCGTCTAGTTCGGGTTGGGTCAGTCGGAACTGTCGCTGTACTGTTGGCTGTGCCCCCGGTTCCAGTTCTATCCTGTGATCGTGCGGGCGCTGAGGTGGCAGCCCCGTCGGTAAGTCATCCGGAAAAATGTCACTGTACTGTTTTAACAGTGCCGCCAGGTCACTCGGTACGTCGGTCAGCAGTTTCTGTAAGTCGCCCCCCTTGTCTGCTGCCTCGGCTTCCCGAATGTCAACCGCGTACACGTCAGCTCCGGCCGCAACAGCGCGTTTCATCGTGATCGCGTTGACACGCACCGACGAAGACTCAGGCGAGCCCCAGCGAGGTAAGGCGATGTTGTTACCGTTTACTCGCACGGTGCAGTCACCCGTCGTCCAGTCAATTCGCGGATTGTGTCGTCGCAGCCAATCACGCCCGAGTAAAATGTCGGTTCCGTCGAGGGTCGTTGCGAGCATTTCCTGACTAAACGTGAAGTTACCCCCGCATCGAATCCGAACTCGGTCTACGCGTTCCCGTATTGCCAGCGGCGTGCCGTCTACCAGTCGTGCGTCGATCTCAGGTAAGCATTGGTCCAGTGGCAGTCGCAGTTTGCGTGCTGTAGCAGTGTTAATGAGGCTGTGGCTGGCTCCCCCGTCTACGAAGATTTTAACTAAGTCCGTCCCAATTTTCCCACTGAGCAGTATAGGGCTATCTACCGTGGTACCCTCCTTATTCGGCCGGGTGTGGTCGATTGCGTGAACCGGCACAATCACTCGGTGAGGGTCGGTTGGGTCGGGCGAGCGGCGTGACCTGTCAGTAGAGGGCCCGTCTGCTACTGACTTCCAGCGTTTCCCTGCTGCTTGGTCTGTGTCTGCTGCTCAGCTTCCCCCTTTCCCTTAGCGTTTTCCGGGCATTCGCTCTTGCGATGTCCCGGCCGATTGCACGCAAAGCAGCGCCCTTTGAACGGTGCGGCAGCGGCATTTGCGGCGACGGCGCGTATCGTGGCGCTCTCGTTCGTCCCACGAGGCCGATGTCCCCAGGTGTTGTTTCCGTAGGACCCCGGTCTCGGTCGGCGAAAGAAGTCGAGCTTCTCCGCCATAGCGAGAATTTCCTGAAACTCAGTGACGCCGCGAAGCTGGATTTCCTGAGCGATGTCCTGCTTCAGGCCGCCGATGTAGCGGTCGATGCGTTCGCTCTCATGCATGTAGCCCACCTGCTCGCATAGCGCCAGAAATCCGCTCGTGTAATCCTGGACGGAACCGAGTTGGCGCCAAGTGCGGAGCTTCTGTCGCGCCGAGATCGAGGCCGCGATTGGCTCAAATCAAGCGCGCAGACCTGCGCACCACGCGTCCCACGTGCGATACTGGGGCACCTCCACGAAATACGACGGCGCCCAGGGTCCGGTTTGTCCTTCCCGTGTCGGTAGTGTCGCGTAGTCGGTCGGCTTCGTGACAATGACGCGCCACCAGTCCATGGCGGGTCCTCGCAGCAACGACACGGCGTATCGAATCTTCGCCGAGTCCTCCGAGACGTAGTTGGCGTCGAAGAAAACATTCATTGTGAATAACCACGCCTGAACGGTAGGACCACCCCGTTGACTCGGGTCGAAGCATGGCGGGCGCTGCGGCTTCAGCGGCATCGGTGACGGCAGTCCCGAATCGTGGGTTGGTGCCGAAATCGTGACGCGAGGCTGACTTGGGGCCGCAGGCGTCGCTCTGGGGTGTGTCGTGCCGTGGTCGTCGTCTCCGTCGGGGCGGACGACGCCATCACTGGCCGCGCTCGCGGGTTGCCCCACACTCCCGTGTTGTGATCTTGAGGGTGCGGGTTGAATCGGAGTGCCAGGTGCTTGAGATTGTGCTCTCAGGAGGTCATTTTGCAGTGATGAGCGTTCTGCCGTCAATGCCGCGATTTCCTCGGAGCTTTCGTGCAGTTGTCGCAGCAGATCGTTCAAACGCTCCTGCGTGAGAGTGGTGACGTCGATGTTTTCGGCCATGACGAAGGGCGTCGGCTCGTCTTAGTCTAGGCGCAGTCGTGGCTGCACGCGTTTACGAGAGAACGCGAGGACAGCGGCTCCTAGGGGCTAAGGTGCGTGAGTCCCTTCGAGTGAAAAATCAAAAGTTGATTTCCTGGTGTGCGGAGATGCGCGGTCCGAAAGAAAGGGGCTCTGATAACCAAGTGTTACGGGTGCAATGAATCGAGGTAGCGAGAATTGCACTAAGGTGTCAAACGAGTACAAAATGTGAGCGAAGGCATGAGCGAACATTTATACGCGAAACATGCAAAACGGTAACGCGGTGCGTGCGAGCTTGCTAGTGCTACGCTGGAGCGAGGCTCGGGCTAGTCCCGAAGCGTAGGCCGATACGGCCACGCCAGGAGTGCGAGGTTTGGTAAATCAGTGCGCGCGAAGTCGGCGAAGTTCCGTTAGCAGTAACGGGCGAACAATCGGCTGTTGCTGTACGCGATGTAGTCGGCTCCGTAAGGAATGCCGAGAAAATTCCTTACATACAGATACAAAAAAGAACACAGAAAACGCACTTGTACATAATTTACCAAACACTTTTAATTGCCACCCCTTCGTCAGCCACCCACCAGTAAAAATATCATTAAATTACATCAATAGACATGCTTCCACCTAGATAGTGGCGAAGATGGAAAACATGGTCCAAAATATATGCACAACCTTGGGTGAACGATTTATTCACCCTAAAGCCCCTACAACCAGCCTTCACACTTCAGGTTCCTGTGAATGTGAAGTTAGCGCACCAAGGGCAAAAGGGCTTCCAAAACTGGCCCCTCATTGCCCCTTTTGGCTTGCTCTTTGTGGTGAAAATAGCATAATAGTTCCACGGCGCCTGAGTCATGGATATAATTGCCTTCTCCAGAGTCTGCCCATTTGATACAGTCACACTGCTCGCATTGGCAATGAAGGTGTGCTTAACCAGCTCGATTTCATCCTCCTCCCAAAGCCTCCACGAACCCGGGATCTCCATTACAAGCTTCCCCGTTTTCCCGTAAGGCGCGTTGCGGATCTGCACCTTTCTCACATCGGCAAGGCACTCGCTCTTAGCTCGGAGGATCACATAGGAGACGTTTTCAGGGGAGCTGCATGATTGGGTGGCGGTGGTTGCGGATCAAAGGGTTGATAGGAGGAAAAGTTGGATGAGATGAGAAACAAGGAATGTGGTGCTAATCTCAATGTACCTTAGATAAACTTGAGTGACCACATTGAAATAACCTTACTCCTATGCAAACATCATTGGATGCTCAGAAACGAATATGATTGTAAATGTGCACTCACGTGTACTTGATTATCCGCACTCGCCCTGTCGGCTCCACGCATTCATCCTCGTCATCGTCCTCATGGTCATCATCGTCACTCTCAATCCGGTACTGCCTCCCACCTCGCGGCCTCCCATCGCCCTCTTCACCATCGTCGCTTTGCTCGGTAACAGCACCGTAACTCTGCACCGCATAACCCGTGGTAGAAACCTGACCGTTACTTTGGCTCACGTTCGGATCTGCAACGGGATCTGCGGGTTTTGGCACCGTCTCTGGCACGGCGGTCTGCGCAGCCGCCAGCTGAGTGATTCCCTCCGCTTCCAGCGCGACCTTTGCGCCGGGCGAAACGAAGAACGCGCGGCTCATGGACCCCAGCGCTTTCGCGAGGCTCGGCTGGCGGAGCAGCTTGAGGATCGAGTTCAGCTTCGCGAGATTTGATTTTATCACGGTCGCGTTGGTGCTGAGCCATTGCACGCTCTGCTGAAGGAGGGTGAGAGAGGGCGTCTTTGATTTGGATACAGAGCGGATGAGCGACAGGATGAAGCGTAAGAATGGGCCTAGGTTGCTGCCGCTGCCCCCGCCACTTCCCCCGCCACTGCCACCGCCACTGCCGCCGCCAGTGCCGCCGCCAGTGCCGCCACCAGTGCCGCCAGTACCACCAGTACCGCCAGTGCCGCCCGAATCTCCCGTGGTGCTAAAGACGGAGGCGCTCCGGAAAGCGGAGGAGGAGGCGGCGGAATTGGCGCCGGCTTTATTGCTGAGGTACAAGTTGTACTGATTTGCCTGCGTGAACAAGATGGCTGCAGGGCGGAGGGAAAAGCGAGGGAACATGGTGGGTCAAAAAGGTTCAAGAGGGAAGACGTGGGGTGGACGAGGGAAGGGAAGAGGGGAAGAGGACCTGGACCCAGTAGATGGCAAAAAAACAAAAAAAAAACAAAAAAAAACAAAAAAACAAAAACAAAAAAAAACTCTTGAAAGTGAATATGGAGCCAATTGTGCACAATAAACTCCTGAAAAATACAAATCACGGATGAACGGATGATTGCGTCGGTTTGAGGGCTCCTGTAAGCGCTTACAGTCAATCTTGCCGAGGGGCGTGGACCCGTTCAAAACGCTCTCGATTTGGTCGAGAAATGAGTCGTACGTTGTCTGCGTGTGTGAATGCGCAGCCAGCGACAAGAGGAGGACGGCCAGGAGGACCGACCGGGCTAAGCGCGGCGATCCCATGGGCAAGCGTCGGAGGGAGATGGTACGGCTGGAGGAAAGAGTGTCGGTCGTGTATTAGTGTAAAGGGAGGGACGCGGTGCGGTGCGGGGCCCTGTTCGGTGCGATGAGCGAAGTCGATGCGGTGCGAAGTCGAATTAAAATACTCTATGATTTTGGCAGCGACTAGGTCAAATTAAGGGATTTAGAAGCAAGGCTTTGGGAAAGGACGTACAACAATGAAGCACCGTACTTAAAACCTCATGACCAAGCTCTTCGGCTACTGACTTATTACGCCACAATGTTTGCTGCTTCTGGAGTTTGGGCTTGTCGCGGAAGTCCTACATCAAGAAAATAGTTAGTGTTGACATTTGAACCGATGTGATTAGTGCAACATTTGACATTTTTTAGTCCAGGCTTCACAAGTTCTGGAGATTGGGTAGGCACTTCCAGCTCAACATTTTCCTTGGGTGGTGAAAAGCGTGGACAGGGGAGGGGGGAGGAGGAAGGGGAGGGCGAGACAGGATGGAATGGAAGGTCGGTTCGCCGCCACTCACACTTCGCGGGTTAGACCTTGAGGAGAGGGATTACAGCGAGCGGAGAGGCGGCGTGTGACTGTAACGCTTCGCCAGTTGGGCGGCGGCACGGCCATGTGAGTGGCCCACAGCTGCTGCTGCAGCCAGCCTCGTTTGACAAACGAAACCACAGCCCTTCGATTGCCAATGTAACCGCAGCGCCACCATCTGCAGCGATGGATCGCAGTGCAACAGAATGCAAGCGTTGGCTGGATGTGATCAACGGATGGGCAGAAGGTTGTGCCCCTCGGGCTGCCGAAGCGAGACGGCTAAAGGTATTATTTACATTTCAGACGGTTCAAAACGTTTCAAAGCGGTAGGGTGAGCAAGAAACCGTCTTCGAGTAGACGGTATCAGTGATGTCATCATGACCCAGGGCATTTGTCTGGCATATCCAAACCAACGAGGGATGAGGGGAGGGACTGGCTGGAGGGAAAATGTGTGGGTGCGGGGTGGAGTGGTTTGGTCAGGGGGGTTTTGAGGGGAGGCTTTCTGAGAGGCTCGGCGGCACGCCGCGATGTGACTCGGGAGGCTGATTGGGTAACAGGCCCCCTCTCGCTCGGGAGGCTGAGGTGGCAGCGTGAATGTGGAACCAATTTTGACGTCAAGTACACACGATGCCCAACCAGTGCACGCGAAATTGCCCCGCCCATGATCGAAACCTTACACCTGTGGGTTTTTTGCAGACATTGCACCTTGTTTATAAGCACCTTAAACCACTTGACCCCACCTGGTGAATACGCCCAAAACTGCGTACGTCGATACAAACAACAGCCGCCGACCTGGACATTCCTCGTTTTGTAGGCCAGAAACAGAGTCCACGAAATGTCTGGACGAAACTCCGAAAACGTCACCGGGGTTAAGGCATGTTACGTCATGCCACGTTGGACGTTACCGCGTGCATATAACATTCTGTGGATTTCTGCAGAACGCCACTTGTACCTTGCCTTTGCTCGATACACGCCCTCTGTGAGCCGTTCAGTCTGGGAGCAGCACACATCACCCTTTATGGTTGTGGTTACATAGTAGCACAACCTCTAAACATCAATCCAAATGCACTCACAAGGAGCACCATCTTGCACTCCTTCCAAGCCGCGCATACTGCTTCGAATTGACATAGATCCTCCCGTCACTCTTCACTAACTCAATTTCACTTCCACCCTCAGAGGCACACAATGCCTCGTCTCTATCACCGCTCTCAGCTTGCGCTGCACATCAAAAGGGCCATCTGCGCCCACCATGTTGTTCACCCGCTTCTCCGCCATGTAGATCTCGCGCATTGGTGCTTCACGCGCTTTGGGGTACGCCTCGACCGATCCACCATCGGCCGAGTGTTGAAGGGCGCCGAACGATGGCGCATCCCGGACGACGCTGTTGACGCTGTTCGTATGCGTGGCGGCGCGTACCCGGACCTGGAGCGCGCAATGGCACGTTGGATTGCCAATGCGGGTCCCGCTGGCGTTCCGCTGACATTGGCCACAATCCGCGACCATGTCGCTACCATGGCACGTGCGAATGGTGTGCCAGCGACGTTTCGTTGCTCTATTGGATGGGTGTAGCGTGCTTTGCGCCGCCAGGGAGTAAGGTGCATGAGCGCTGTCGGCGAAGCGGCAGCCCAGGACATGAACGCCGTCCGCACCGCTCGGGAGAAGCTCCCGTAGCTTCTCTTGCAACTCGGCGTACGCCCGCGTGATACATTCAACTTCAACGAGACGGCGCTTTTCATCTCCGTTCTGCCGCGCAAAACATACGGCACCGGCAGGTCGGCGGGGCGGAAGGCGCCGAAGGAACGACTCACCGTCGGATTCCTGGTGAACGCGGAGGGCTCGCACGCCTTCCGCCTGCTCGTCATCTCCAAGGCGAAATGGCCCCACAATTTCCGGCCGGACTATAATCCAGAGGAGTTATGCTACTGGCGCAACACCGCCAAAGGTTGGATGACTTCCTTAGTGAGTATGAGTGCATTCGTTGTGTTGCCACTGCTTTTGTAACGCCGCCAAACATACCATATTACCGGCCCTCTAACTCACCCCTCTCACCATTGACTTTTGTGTCAACCCGTCTGCTTGCTTGGCAGCTATTCACGCGCTACATCGAACAACTCGACGCTACCATGGATGCAGAGGACCGCACCATTGTTGTCCTGCTCGACAACGCCAACAGCCACAATCTGACAACCGAGGGCGCCGTGACCGAAGATCTCTTCGGGTTCCGTACGCGTGCGCTCAAGAACGTGCGCCTGGTGTTCATGCCTCCTAACACCACCTGCTTCATTCAGCCTCTTGACCAGGGGCTCATTGCCATGGCGAATGCGCTGTACCGCCAGCATTGGCTCCGCGCCTTCACGGGCATGTGGACTGCCGAAGGCGCCACCTCCGCGGCAGCTAGGTTAAAGCCGAACCTCCGTCTAGTGCTGGAGTGGCTCCACGACGCGTAGATTAATATCCCCCGTAGCACTATCCAGCGTTGCTGGTGGCGCACCGGTTGTCTCCCGCGCGCCTGGGCGATGGAACTCCCGCACGTGGAGCCAGGAGTTGGCGGCGGCCCCACTGTCGGAGGTGACATCGGCCTGGACGATGACGTCAACGACGTCAGTAGCCTGATTGACCAGCTCGGACTCGGGCCCAGCGCGATGCCCGCTCAGGAGTTTGTCGGCATCGATGCCAACCAGCCAACGTGCGCCGAGCCCGGTGATGATCCGTTGGCGATCGAGCCGCGATCGGAGCCGACAGCGGAGATGTGGGAGGCGCCTGCGTCGATGCAGGTGGTCTACGACGACAACAACCCTGCGACGCGCGAAGCAAGTCGCACCGCTCGTGCCGCGTGCGAAATGCTCATTGGCTACGCGCGCGCGACATGCATCACGCCGCGGGACCTGTGCGCACTGTTTGACATTCGTAACCCGATCATCATCGCGCGGATGGAGCGCGCAATCCCTGCTCTCAACCTTAACGCGTCTCCGCCATCCGCCATGTCGCACGAGGACAACCCACCAGCAGAGACTCCACGTCGCCGTGGTCGCGTGCTGCCGGCGTGGATAACAGTGCCGACCCCTGACTAGGTGGCCCAGTCTGCTCGCCGGCAGGAGCTCGTTGATGCCGGGGCTCCCGCTGTGATGTCAGGCTACTTGGCTGCCCCTGAGTGGATGCGGCTCTGAAGCCCCGTCATCACCATTTAGGAGGAGTGCACTGTCAAATATTATAGCCTGTAGTGGGTTGGGCTATATGGGGTACAACTAGTTAGGGTTAGGTGATGTACCCCAATTCTGTCAACACAACTCATTCCGCTGTAGTTCTCATTCTGACATGGTATCAGCAGTAGGTTAGCGCTCCTAGTCCTAGGCCCGCCCTTCCCTACCACTAGGGTTACCACTGCACCCTGCCAGCCCGCCAGCGCCCTACCCCACGCCCCAGCCGGCGCGCCCCTCCCCTCCCCGCCCTTAGCCATCGCACCCGCCAGCCAGCCAGCGCGCCAGCAGCCTGCGCGCCAGCCAGCCAGCCAGCGCGCCAGCCAGCCAGCGCGCCAGCCAGCCAGCGCACCAGCACCCTGCGCGCCAGCAGCCTGCGCGCCAGCTAGCCAACGCGCCAGCCCGCCAGCGCACCAGCCAGCCAGCGCGCCAGCCCGCCAGCGCGCCAGCCAGCCTGCGCGCCACCCCGCTTGCACGCCAGCCCGCCAGCGCGCCCGCCAGCGGGCGCACCAGCGAGCCTGCCGGCTCGCCTGCCAGCGCGCCTGCCAGCGAGCTCGCCAGCGCGCCCGCCAGCACGCACGCCAGCGCGCCCGCTAGCACGCCCGCCAGCGCGCCACGCCAGCGAGCCCCGCCAGCGCGCACGCCAGCGCGCCGCGCCCGCCAGCGCGCGCCCTGCTTAGCCGCCCGCCAGCGCGCCGCGCCCGCGCGCCACGCCAGCCAGCGCGCCGCGCCGAAGCGCGCCCCGCCGCCCCGCGCCCAGCCAGTGCGCGCCCCGCCTGCACGCACCCGCCTCGCACTCACCTCCCTCTCCTCCTCCTCTCGCGGCTGGCGGCCGCTATCACTTGTCCTCGCCCCTCATGGCGACGTCTCGCGTGCTCCGTTTCGACCCTGAGGGGCGTGCGATCGACTTTAGTACCTGGCTGACGCAGGCCCAGCGCCACCTTAGGAGCCAGCGCCAGGATGGCGTGCACCTGTTTGCGCATGCGTCCGGTGCTCTGCCCGCCCCGCCGCAGCCTTCACCGCTGCCCACTACCCCACCGCCTACTTCCGAGCAGGAGGCTGAGTACCAGCGCCGGTTCCTCGCTCGTGACGTGTGGGAGTCTCGTGACGCTGCTGCCTGCCTCGCCCTGACCGACCTTCTCCCGCCGACTGAGGCTGTCCACTTCACTCAGCTCGAGTCTGCTGCAGACCTTTACACTGCTATTGTTGCTCGCTACTCCACTCCCTCCTCTGCCTCCCTCAGCCGCCTCCTCGTCCCCTTTATCTACCCTGACCTCGCCTCCTTTGAGACTGTCGCTGACCTCGCTACCCACCTGCGCTCCCTTGAAGCTGGCTTCAAGGGAGCTTGCACTGAGGAACAGCTTGCCCTTGCACCACCCCCCATGTGGCTCACTATTCACTGGTTAGTCACTCGCCTCCCTGACCGTCTAGCCACAGCCCGTGACGCGCTTCTCCTGACGCACCCCACTGAGCTTACTATCGATCTTCTTGAGATCGCTCTCTCGAAGATCGAGAGTAACCTCCTCGCTGTTGCCTCCGCCTCTTCCGCGCCTCCTCCTCGTCTCTTTGAGGGGTGTGCGGTACCACAGCTTCCCACCTTCACTGCCTCGCTTGCCACTGCCGCGTCTTCTGCCTCTGAGGAGACGGCGGCCGTTTCTGTCTCTGGCGGACAGAAACGTGGCAAGTCCGGCAAGAAGGGAGGGAAGGGCGGCGGGGGTTCTGGGGGTGTTGCGGGTGGCGGCGGTGGCGGTAAAACTAGTGGCGGGGGTGGCGGCGGGGGTGACTCGGGACTTGACGGCTCTCCTCTAGACGGTGGTGAGGGGTTTTCGCAGCAGCAGCAGTAGACTCCTCCGCAGCTGCCACCGCCTGGACAGCAGCAGCGGCAGGGACAGCAGCAGCAGCGCCAGGGCCAACAGCAGCGTCCGCCTCAGCAGCAGCCCCAGCAGTGGGGCACTCTGCAGCAGTGGGGCACTCAGCAGCAGTGGGGCCCCTCGCAGCAGTGGGCCCCCCCGCAACAGTGGAGACCTACGGGCCCCCCGAGCACTGGGCGCAGTGGTGCCCCTTCTAGTCGGGGACCCCGCTCGGCCGGCCGCGACGTTGGTCCCTGTGAGTACTGGATCCTGACGGGTCCGCGCAGGGGCACGTACTGCGGCCGTCCTGACCACTCTGCTGCACGCTGCTTCAGCCGTCTTGACGACCTGTACGTCCTGCACCACGGTCCCTCCGCTCCCCCGCCACCGCGCTGGGGACCACTCCTTGCTCGTGGTGTTGCTGTGTTTGATATGTCTATGGATGATGCTAGGTCTTATGCCATGTATGCTGATGTTTACTATAGTGCTGTCGGATCTGTTTACTTGCCTGTACCTAGCGTAGGATCTTTGCCTGTTGCTAGAGTAGGTGCTGGTGTAGGATCCTGTCTAGCTACTAGTACAGGTGCTCCCTCGGCGGACGCGTCGCTCTCCTTCACACTGGACTCCGGAGCGACGCAGTGCTTCTTCCGCGACAGCACGACTCTTACTCCACTCTCGGCGCCGGTTTCTGTAGCACTGGCCGATCCCTCTTCGTGACCGGTCATTGCGACTCACGCCACTACCCTCCCGTGCCCAGCTGCCCCTTCCGGTTCTCTGACCGGCCTCCACGTTCCTACTTTCTCTAGGAACCTGGTTGGTGTGGCTCCTCTGGCGAGACAGCACGTCGGGGTCTGGTTTGAGCCTTCGGGTGACACTGCAGTCTGTGTGGACGGTGACACGTACGCCCCTCTCGCCACTTTTCGTCAGGAGCCGGGCTCTGGTCTGTACACCCTCCACACCGACACCCGTCCGGTTCCCCCGTCCCACCAGGTAGCCAGGTCCAGACAGGTAGCTGTGCCAGGTCTAGTGGCTGCGTCGTGCTCGTGTCGGTCACTGTCCCACCCTGCCCTCCTCTGGCACCACCGCCTTGGTCACCCGTCCCTCTCTCGTCTCCGTGCTATGTCCAGTCAGCGTCTTGTCTTAGGCCTCCCCCGCGACCTCCCGCCGCTCCCGCCGTCCCCCGCTCCTCCGTGCGGTCCTTGTGTCCAGGGACGGCTGCGCGCCACTCCTCACTCCTCCTCCCTTCGTCCAGCCTCCGAGCCCTTTGAGACACTCCACTTAGACGTCTGGGGCCCGGCTCCACGGCTTGGACCTGAGCGAGAGAGCTTCTTCCTAGTGGTCGTTGACGACTACTCTCGGTACACCACCGTGTTCCCTTTGGCGAAGAAGTCCGACGTGACTTCTACGCTGATCCGGTGGCTGCTCGCCACCGAGAGTACTCGTCGTCGTCGTGTCAGCTGTCTCCACTCCGACCGTGGGGGTGATTTTCGCTCCGGCATTCTCGCCAAATTCTATGCTGAGCAGGGCATCACCCAGTCCTGGACTCTTCCAGACTCTCCACAGCAGAATGGGGTTGCTGAGCGCCGGCTAGGCCTGGTCATGGAGATTGCCCGCACCTCCATGATCCACGCCCGCGCGCCCCATTTTCTGTGGCCCTACGCGGCTCGGTACGCCGCTCACCAGCTGAACCTCTGGCCTCGCGTCTCTCGGCCAGGGGCTTCACCGACCAGTCTTTGGACAGGGTCCCCTGGTGTTGCGTCGAGGTTTAGTGTCTGGGGCTGCTTGGCGCTTGTCCGCGACACCTCTGCGGACAAGCTCTCACCTCGCGGCGTCCCCTGTGTCTTCCTTGGTTTCCCTGAGGCCTCCTCTGACTTCACCTTTTACCACCCTCCCTCCCACCGGTTCTTTGACTCTCGTGACGTCAGTTTCGACGAGTCCGTCCCCTACTTCGTCCGGTACCCCTGTCGAGGTCTCCCGGTTCCCCCCCCTCCCCTCTTCCTCGCCCCAACTCCTCCTCCTCCCGCTCCCTCTCCTCCGGTACCCCCCCCGGTTCCCGCTCCGTCAGGTGTGTTGCAGGCTACCCCCCCTCCCTTGGTCCCCCCCCAGGTCTCTCCTCCTTCCCCACAGTCGTCCTCACAGCCTCCGCAGCAGCCGTCGGCGCTTCCTCTCCTGGCCACTGCGGACTCTGAGGGTGTTGGTGCTCGAGGTGAGGGCTCTGGCGGTGCTGGTTCTGGGGGTGTTGGAGTTGGAGCTGAGCGTGCACCTGCAGCAGCTGCACGTCCCGAGCGTGTTGGAGTCGGTGGTGGTGCTGGAGCTGGTGGTGTTTCTGGAGCTGGAGAGTCTGGGGCTGGTGCTGGTGCCACTGGCGGCGCCACGACTGGGGGTGCGGGTACACCTCCTACAGGTACTGGTCGTGCTGCCGCAGGGGGTCCTTGCTCTGGGGGTGCTCAGCCGGGTCCTGTCGAGGGTGGAGCCGGTTCTTCTTCGTCGTCTCCTGACACCACTCCTCCTCCTCACCCCTACCCGACTCGTTACCAGGCCCTTCGTCGTCTAGAGCGTGAGGAGCAGCAGCGTTTGGAGCGTGAGAGGTCGGAGGTTCAGCAGCGGGTGGAGCGTGAGCGGTTGGAGTTTCAGCAGCAGCAGCAGCAGCAGCAGCAGCAGCAGCAGCAGCAGCCGCAGCCACAGCCACAGCAGCAGCAGCAGCAGCCGCCGCAGCTGCCGGAGCAGCCTCCGGCCCCTGTTTCTGGCCTTCGGGCTCTTGGTCTCCCCTCCTCTCCTCCTGTGTTCGGTCCCACGTTTCCTCCTCCGGACTCCACTCCGGCTGTCTTCCCTCGTTCTCAGTCTCCTCCGTCCCCCCCTCCTCTCGCCCACACTTGGGCCTCTCGCCCTCCTCGTGCTCGTCCCTCGTCCCCTGTCACTGACCTCCGTACCGTGTTGTTTTGTCCTCGTCCTCCTCGTTCTCCTCCGTCTGTCCTTCCTCGTCCTCCTGAGTCTTCCCTCACTGCCTCCCTGTCCACTCTGGTCATTGACTACTACCGCACGTACCGCCCCACTCTCTCTCGTGTTCTTGCCTCTCTTGTTACAGACCCTCGTGCCTCTCCTTCCTCCGTCGCGGTCCTCACTGCCGCTGTCACTGACTTTACTGCTACGCGTCGCCTTGACTACGCCACTCGAGTTGTGGCAGCTCCTCCTGTCCGTCCTCTGTCCGGCGGGGGTGTGTGTGCCCTTGGCTGTGACGTCCTAGAGGACAGACAGTTTGAGCTAGAGTTTCTGGCAGCTGCTTCACCTCATCTCTGTGCCATGCTGCTCACTCCTGAGGGAGACCCCGACGCTCCTGACATACCTACTCCACGCACTTACGCTGAGGCAGTGTCACGGCCTTGGGCCTCTCAGTGGAGAGCTGCCATGGACGCAGAGATGGCCTCCTACAGGTCCATAGGCACTTACGTTGACGAGGTTCCCCCCCCAGGGGCAAACATTGTTGACGGCTTGTGGATCTTCAAGGTGAAGCGGCCGCCGGGATCTCTCCTAGTCTTCAAGGCACGCTACGTGGCTAGAGGGTTCAGTCAGCGCGAGGGGGTTGACTTCTTTCAGACCTTCGCGCCCACCCCGAAGATGACCACTCTTCGGGTGTTACTGCACGTAGCAGCGCAGAGAGACTACGAGCTACACTCTCTTGACTTCTCCACTGCCTTCCTCCAGGGCTGCTTACACAAGGAGATCTGGCTGCGTCGTCCTCCGGGCTTCACTGGCACTTTCCCGCCTGGGACCCAGTGGAGCCTCAGACGACCGGTCTACGGTCTCCGCCAGGCACCCCGTGAGTGGCACGATACTCTCCACTCTACTCTCTCCGACCTCGGGTTTGAGCCGTCTTCCGCTGACCCGTCGCTGTTTGTTCGTCGTGGCCGTACACCTTTCTTCGTCCTAGTCTACGTTGACGACTTGGTTTTTGCCACGGCCGACACAGCTGCACTGGCGGAGGTGAAGTCCGAACTGCAGAAGAGACACACCTGCACTGACCTTGGGGAACTGCGCCGCTACCTTGGCCTGCAGATCTCCAGGGATAGAGCCGCTCGCACCATCACTCTCACTCAGTCACACATGGTGCAGCAGGTTCTTCAGCGGTTCGGGCTTCAGGACTCTTCTCCTGCCCCCACTCCTCTTGCTGTAGACCACAGACTCACTGGGCCTTTTCCTGACGAGCCGTTCGAGCCCAGTGGTCCCTACGCAGAGCTGGTGGGCTGCCTCATGTACCTGATGACGTGCACTCGCCTGGACCTCGCCTTCCCCCTTAGCATCCTGTCTCGCTTTGTTGCGACTGGGAGACACCGTCCTGTTCACTGGGCGGCGGCTAAGAGGGTGGCGAAGTACCTTGGCGCGACATCGGGCATGGGGCTTGTACTTGGAGGGACACAGTCAGTTGTACTCACCGGTCACTGTGACTCTTCCTACGCTGACGACGTTGAGACTCAGAGGTCTACGCAGGGTTACTGTTTCAGCCTGGGTTCTGGAGCTGTTTCGTGGAGGTCTACTCGGTCCTCTTCTGTTGTGACCTCTACCGCAGAGGCCGAGATCTACGCTGGGGCCCTTGCTGCTCAGGAGCTACGCTGGTTGACCTTTTTGCTCACTGACCTTGGTGAGCGGCCGAGCTCTGCACCGACCCTGTTTGCTGACAACAGGGCGATGATTCTCCTGTGTCGTGAGCCTCGACTGGAGAGCCGAGTGAAGCACATCGACGTCTGGTACTTCCTCTTTCGAGAGTTGCAGAGACGCGGACAGGCTCGTCTGGACTTTGTGGCCTCCGAGGCCAACACTGCAGACATCTTCACCAAGGCCCTCCAGCCTTGTGACCACCGTCGGTTTTGTCTGCAGTTAGGCCTTATTGAGACTGGGTCTAGTTGACTGCTGTAGGGTGCTCTTTGTCTGTTGCTTGCTTGTACCTTATATATATATATATATATATATATTTGTTTGCACACTTTTGGACTGGCCTTTTGGACTGGCCTTGTGGCCTTTTGCTTGTGCTCAGATTAGGTGGTGACGTTGTGATCCACCCTGAGCTTTGTTTTCTTTCTCTTATTTTTGACTGGTCTTGTGACCGTAGGTTGCTTGTTGTTGATTGGCCTTCCCCACTTAGGCTATGGGGGTGTGTCAAATATTATAGCCTGTAGTGGGTTGGGCTATATGGGGTACAACTAGTTAGGGTTAGGTGATGTACCCCAATTCTGTCAACACAACTCATTCCGCTGTAGTTCTCATTCTGACATGCACATCTCCTCCTCCTCCCGGCTGTGCGTGCGTCGTGACAGGGGATTCTGTCCCCCTTAGAGGGATTTGCTTCCTCACTAATGCATCAAGTGTACGCCTTGTACACATGCGCAAGAATGGGACAGTACGAGTGGGTATTTGGGTTGGGTACAGGTGGAGCAGCTTTATTGGGTGGAGGGATGAATGTGTTGTTTGTGACAGTGCGGGACGTGAAATGTAATGGGGTGTCAATGTAATGGGTGAAAATTGTGGTAACAGATCCATTGAACGCACACCAAACTATGCCACCCCACACTGTTTAGAGAAAAGACAAGCGGGTAACAACCCTTGCCTTTTAGGAGCACCTCTGGGCCATGGCGAAAGCCACGAAGTGCCCGAAATGACATGTGCGCTTATAAGCCCAGAGCACAAGGGGAGGACGGGGGATTATAACGCACATCAGGTGTACCTTACGACCAAGACTCCCCCCTCATCCCTGGCTGGAGTCTGAGAAAAATTTGTGGATTCATGATCCCGAGGCGCAAGTCGGCGGAACACAATTCGCAGCTTACAGAAAAGAGGTGATTTGCGGTGTAGTGCGGTGAGGTTCTATAGTCCCGGACTTGGCGAGTCCATCTCACCACTCATGCTGTTACGCGTGCAATGAATCGAAGTAGCGAGAATTGCACTAAGGTGTCAAACGAGTACAAAATGTGAGCGAAGGCATGAGCGAACATTTATATGCGAAACATGTTAACGGTAACGCGGTGCATGCGAGCTAGCTAGTGCTACGCTGGAAGGGAGGTTTGAGCTTGTCCCTAAGCGTAAGCCGATACGGCCAGGCTAGCAGTGCGAGGTTTGGTGAAACAGTGCGCGCGAAGTTGGCGAAGCCCCGTTAGCAGTAACGGGCTAACAACGCCTGTTGCTGTACGCGATGTTGCAGGGTGCGCTGCGGAAGATCGAGAAAATTCTTTACATATGCACAGCACAGACAGACCTTCTTGTTCCTTGTTATTTCATAATAATTGAACATGCCCCATCCGTACAACCTTACATGTCTGACATCCCCAAAATCAACTCAGCCTTAGCAGTAGCCACCAAGACAGTGGCCACTTCTTACTACAAGCTTAACTGATATGTGAAAATGACTTCACATATCACCGCAAGCCAGACCTCAGTAATGCACCACCATGGATTCGACAAAACACATGATCCTCTCGACCCTAGGTTCCTGTGAAAGTGAAGTTCCCACACCAAGGGCAAAACGGCTTCCAGAGCTGCCCCCTTATTGCCCCATTCTTCTTGCTTCCTGTGGTGAAAATGGCATAGTAGTTCCACGGCGCCTTAGTCATGGAAATAACCGCCTTTTCCAGAGTCTGCCCATTTGCAACTATCACGCTGCTCGCATTGGCGATGAAGGTGTGCTTAACCAGCTCAATCTCATCGTCATCCACAAGCCGCCACGAACCTGGAATCTCCAAAACAAGACTCCCAGTTTTTCCATAAGGAGCATTGCGGATCTGCACCTTGCGCACGTCAGGCAAGCACTCGCTCTTAGCTCGGAGTAGCACATAAGAGATGTTCTCCGGGGAGCTGCACATATGGTTGGGTGAGGAGATGAACAATTTCGATATGCAGTTAGTTTGGGGGGTTATGATGATTAACTACACCTATGCTATCATATATTAATCTGCGCACTCACGTGTATTTGATGATTCGCACTTTCCCAACCGGCTCTATGCATTCCTCCTCGTCGTCGTCCTCTTCATCATCGTGGCATTCGATGCGATACTGCCGCCCCCCGCGACTTCTCCTCTCATCGTCGTCATCGTCGTGCAGCACCCCGACCGTGCCAGAGCTCATCATCGCATAATTCTGACCGTAACTCTGCCCGGAAACTGGCGCCGGAGTCGTCGGTACAGTGTTGGGCACTGTAGCTTGCGCAGCAGTAAGATTCGTAACACCTTCCGCCTCCAACGTAACATTCGCATCCGCGGGTATGAAAAAAGCGGATTTTTTATTCCCCAGAGCCTCGTTGAGGCTTGGCTGTCCCAGCAGCTTAAGTAAAAAGTTTAGCTTAGCACGGTTGGATTTGCTAGCTGCCGCGCTGCTGCTCAGCCATTTCACGCCATTTTGGAAGGTGGACAGCGGCGGAGCCGGTTTAGTAAACCCAGATGTTGTCGCGCTGGAGCGGACGCTGAAGAAACTAGTAAAAAAACGCGAGATCAAGCCGAAGCTGCTGCCGCTACTGCCGCTGGCACTGCCGCCGGTATTGCCGCTGCTACTGTCGACGCCAGGGTCCGACGCGACCGAGCTGCGGAGCGAGTTACTGCGGAAGGGAGATCTGTGGGAGACGGATTTGCCGCCGCCTTGCGAGGCGGATTTGGCGCGGGCTTTATTGCTGCGAGCCAGGTTGTACCGATTGGCCTGCGTGAACAGGATGGCTGCAGGGCGGAAAGGGTGGAGAAGGAGGAGGGGAGGGGGAAGGGGGAGGAGGGGGTGGGCGGAAAGAAAAAGGCGGGGTGGAGGGGGGGGGGGGGGGTGTAGCGAGAAAGCGGAGAGCGCACGAGACGAGGGGATACATGCGCAGGTCGTTGAAAGCGGAGAAATTCGACGGACCAAGAAGAAAACAAACATCATCTGGAATGGTGGCTTGCATCATTCGCTACAAGCACTTACAATCAACCTTGCCGACAGGCGTGGACCCGTTAAGAACGCTCTCGATTTTGTCCAGGAACTCGTCGTAAGTCGTCTGCGTGTGCGAATGCGCGGCCAGCGACAAGAGGAGAATGGCCAGAATGACCGGCCGAGCTGACACGTGACACATTGGGTCGATAGAAAGCGAGGGGGGGATGAATAATGTAAGGACAAACGAAAAAAGGGAGGATTTTTGGAGAAGAAACGGATGCGACGTGGCGTGCGAGCAGCACGACGTGGCCAGAAATTGCATCTCGCACTTCGAGCGACGGAATGAACGCTCACCCGGCCATGGAAACTCCATCAGCAGGAGAGGAGATGCCAAGTCAAATCTAACCCAAAGCAGGAGGTTTCCGACAATCTGGCCTAACAAACGGAATCAATGAATTCTAAAACTTAGACACTATCTCAGAGCGACATATGACGGTGAAGGAAACGTAATTAGCTCGAACGCTACTCCATGTAGGCATGTCTTTCTAGTCTGGCTCACATGCAGATCTTTGGGACACTAATTTTGAGCCCTAGCAAATGTACTCGCTGCCTACTGTTCACTCGCATACAGCCGCCAAAGAAGAACAGGGTAGGGCAAAGCTGATGCTCGGTCTGGTCTGGTTTGGTTCGGTATGGAGTCTAACCCTGGGGTCCGATGTATCTGGCAGGGCTTCCCTCCTGGAATGTGCGATTTGGTCCAGCAGAAGGTGGCGGTGTTTACCCAGGTGAACCCCCAAATCTGGTGGTGGATGGAGGCTCCAGTTGGGGGCTGGCTGGTTCTTCTTGCTCGTTCTTTCCGCAGTGCACCAGGGTCTGGTGAACCAAGGTGAGGTTGTTGCGTTGTGTGACGTGGCGGGTGGCGGCTGTTCCGCCATTTAGAAAATCTGGGGCGCGCAAACGGGTGTGATTGGGGGCTGGCGGGGAATGAGATGCAATTTGGAAGAATTTTGAGAAACACCGAAATGCGCGTTACTGCAGGATGCAAGCCGGTTCGAGGATTTCTGTGCAGGTGATTAGCAAGACGGAAAATGGGGGACATGGGGAAACGGGCGGCAGGGGGAGCAGAGTGACGAGACAGGGCGGGTGGAAGGAAAGACCAGTCGTTGTGGGGCACCAGCAATTTTTGCTTTTGAAGTCGAGGTTGTCGAAGCGCACAAGTGACATGCTGCATGAACTGGGCAGTGTGTTGTATTGTAACTGCCCTTTCAGGAAAGCATTCATGCCTGTATCAAGCTGCTCGATTCTTCCCTTGTAGTAGCGGGAGCGGGGTTTCATCAAAACGCTGTACAGCTCTCAACACCTTCCCTTGCCGAACCACAAGGCGCTGGGTAAGCGTTGTCGAACCCAATTTCCGAACCTGTTTGTTCTACTCATCTTGGCCGTTTGAAGGCTGACGAACGGCCACGATATTGAAGAAACCCCTAGAAATGACACAGCCATCAGTCATACCTGGAGTAAAGTGTCGGTGGCGCACTCGCCGATAACGACACTTTTCAAACAGTAGTCCGCCTCAGTTGCACCACTTTCGAAATACCCGCTATTGAACAATGCCTTTGCCTCATGTGTACACTCTTAGAACACCCGCTAATGAAAAATTAGAGTGACAGGAAAAGTGCACAAATGTAAAAAAAGCTCATTCCGGATTTTGCAGAATCTTAAGCCATAAATCAGTTCAAAACATAAAATATATACATAAAATCATGTAACATGCTTTAAACACTACGTATTCTCTATGTATTTACATATGTAATATTCCATTTTATTTCCTTACTAGCAAAGCCGTATTCAAAATTTCAGAAATTTACGCTCACAGCTTGTACTTCGAGCAACTGTTGCTGTTTTTTTTTCCAAATAACCCAACTATTCAGAAATAGGACTAGATATTAATCAGTGTGGACATGGTGTAGGCCTGCCCTGCATACGGAAATTATTTATGCTTTCCTGTGGGAAATCAGAACTACATCGTGGAGCGTTCTGACCCACAAGACGCCGCTTTGGCGATAAGCCCACAGCGTGTCACCCTTACATTGTTTACAACTCATGTATCACTGTCCAGGCTGGTATGTCGCGGTTCAAAGCGGTGGATCCAGCGTACCGCTGTAGAATGCAAATCATCGTATTCAACCTCTTCAAACCCATACGCATGCAACTAAGGGCGACGTCAGGCTGTACAATTCTCACACACACACAATTCTTGCATCGTGGCTCAGGACGGTTCCACACGGTGTAAAGCGGTTTATAAGCATCACCGTTTTGCACCACGACGAAACTAAGTTGATCGCAGAGAGCGTGCAAAAAGTTGTACAACCTGACGTCACCCTAAATGAAACTCGTCCAAGCGTAACGCACCCTTGTGGACGCACACGCACGCCGTTTAGCTCACAGCTCTGCTCTCTTTCATATTTCCGTGATCGTGATTTAGTCTTACGAACTTCGCAGTGGCAGCAGTGAATTTAGGTGAACTCGATTGGAAGTATATGCTTACTGCCAGTTTCTCGCTGACTGGAACGATGGCGGTCAACGCGGCTCGACTGCCGCCAGTCAATGTCTCGTCCGAGTCACGCATCAGCAATAGAGTCAGTAGCTTCAGCAAGAGTCAAGCCTGCCCTTCAGGAATAACGATGGTGCCGTCGGCGGCGGTTCACCAGCAAGGAAGGTTAGGACAGGCAACTCACTTACCAGTACGACGATCGAGGCGTTTTATAACGAGAGCGAGAAGAGAGGATCGCATGGATGGGCCAGCGGACGCGAACCTGGCGAACACGGGATCGAACGGCCACGATTGTCTAAGAATGACTCATTCCGCAGCTAACCGTTCGTCCTCGGAATCAAATCCCCAGTCTGAGGGTGTAGGGCTCGCATCGGAATCCGCTTCAGACGCTGTTACAAATGAGAGTGGTAATATCGGGGGACGGAGGAAGCTGCTGTTACTCGGAGCTGCTTCTGGATTGTGGGGTCTAGCCCCGTTCCTCCTGCCGGATGCAGCCTCTCGTTTCAGTCACGCCCGGGCATTTGAACTTTTCGGATTTGGAACCGAAGCGTCCAGCTCGGCCTCTGCTTCTGCCTCAGGATCCATGTCGCTTTCCGTGTCATTTTCCGCGTCAGCATCCGCATCCGCATCCACGTCAGCATCCACGTCAGCAGCCACGTCAGCATTTGCAGGGAATCCGGGAGGGCCTGTTCCTCCAGCGAGGATCGATCTAGCTGCTGCACCCAGAGGCACGTTTGACCCCACCGATGAGAAGCTCCGGGCTGCTGCCACCAACTTTGAACGCGCCCTCACTGCTTCCACTGTACGTCCCGTCCCTGTGACTGTATGAAGACCACCTTCACACCATTGATCCCTGTAGAACACCTTCAAACCTGTCTTACTGTTTCCATTGTTCCTTCCTCTTGACTATAAGTAGACCACCTGTATACTTTTGGATGCGCCCTCACTCCTTCCACTGTGCATAGCTGTGACTGACTATATGTGCGCCACCTCTACACCGTCGACTTATCAACGGTCCAGATTGTGCGTGCTGGCAGGTGGAGGAGGAGGAGGCGCTATGGACGGTGGTGATCGAATCGTGCGAGCGGGCAGGCAATGCCGAATGGGTGCCAGACATTGCATCGAGAGCGCTGGGCAACCGAGGCAACGCACGGTCGAGACAGGGAAGACTGGTGGAGGCTCTAGGGGACTACAACGCTGCCATCGCCTACGCTCCGTACGTACTAATTGTCAAGGCAAATCAATCACCACCCAACGCGAGGTGCAGGCAGGAAAAGAACAAGACGAACAAAGCCAGCGCGCTGCTCTGCTGATCTCTGCTGGAAGAGAAGCATTGCGATGCTGCCGTTGGCCTCGCCTGGTGTGCTTGCTCCACTGCTGCTCTCTGCTGAGCTGATCTATGCTGTGCCCATTTCTTCCATCCCATCCTCCTGTCAACCCTCCACTGACCACTCCTCCCCTCAGCGCACCCCTCACATCAGCTATGCAGTCGGCCCAGTCTGCAACCGAGGCGAGGCCCTATTAGCACCTCGAATCTCTCCGCGTCTCACCCCCTCCATCCATCCACTGCCCGCCCTTCCCATCGTCTGACCCATCCTCTGGTCAACACCCTTCCCATCCCTCTCTGCACACCCCGCTTCGCTATCAGCTATGCAGTTGACTCAGTCCGAAACCGAGGTGTGGTCCTGTTAATGCACAGTTCTTCCATGCCGTCCTCCTCTCACCCCTCCTGTCTTCCTCTCACCCCTTCTCCCATCTGCACACCCCGCTTCGCCATCAGCTATGCAGTTGACCCAGTCCTCAACCGGGGCGTGGCGCTGGAGTCGCTGGGGCGCTTCCAGGAAGCTGCGGCTGATTACTCTGCCGTGCTGGCAGTAGCGCCTAACGACCCTGCAGCGTGGAACAACCTGGGCAACGCACAGGTGGGGGATGATGGGGTCAACGGAGTCAATGCAAGTCAATGGATCTAATTAATGGGGCACATGCGTGGCAGAGATGGCAGTGGCGCCCAACGACCCTGCTGCTTGGAACAACCTGGGCAACGCACAGGTGCGGGTGCTGAGATGGTGAGCACGAGTTGGATGACCCTGACTCATATTCGAAAGGCTGCAGTGGCTGCAGTGGCTGCAGTGGCTGCAGCGGCTGCAGTGGCTGCAGTGGCTGCAGTGGCTGCAGTGGCTGCAGTGGCTGCAGTGGCTGCAGTGGCTGCAGTGGCTGCAGTGGCTGCAGTGGCTGCAGTGGCTGCAGTGGCTGCAGTGGCTGCAGTGGCTGCAGTGGCTGCAGTGGCTGCAGTGGCTGCAGTGGCTGCAGTGGCTGCAGTGGCTGCAGCGGCTGCAGCGGCTGCAGTGGCTGCAGTGGCTGCAGTGGCTGCAGTGGCTGCAGTGGCTGCAGTGGCTGCAGTGGCTGCAGTGGCTGCAGTGGCTGCAGTGGCTGCAGTGGCTGCAGTGGCTGCAGTGGCTGCAGTGGCTGCAGTGGCTGCAGTGGCTGCAGTGGCTGCAGTGGCTGCAGTGGCTGCAGTGGCTGCAGTGGCTGCAGTGGCTGCAGTGGCTGCAGTGGCTGCAGTGGCTGCAGTGGCTGCAGTGGCTGCAGTGGCTGCAGCCCTTCGAATATGAGTCAGGGTGTGACCCTTGGGACAACCTGGACAACGCACAGGTGCGGGTGATGAGATGGTGAGCATGGGTTGGATGATTGGGCGGGGCCAACGGGGCCAATGTGGGTCAACAAGGTCATTGGAGGGGCACGTGCATGGCAGTGCTGGCAGTGGCGCCCAACGACCCTGCAGCGTGGAACAACCTCGGGAATGCAACGCACAGGTGGGGGTGCTGCTGCTGAGGTGGGGGATAATGGGTTCAGTGGGGTCAATGGTGTCAATAAAGTCAATGGGGTTGTCTATTCCAACCCTTTCTCCCCCCCTTCTTCCTTCGTCTACTTCACTGTCCCTGTCATGCAGGCAGGTGTGGGGGCGTGGGGGGATGCAGTGGAGAGCTACAGGCGGGCCAGCATGTTGGCTCCGGTCTTCTCCTTTGCTGCTGCCAATTACGCTCTCGTGAGTCTGGACTCCAGGTTTTCGAGCTTGTTCCTTGCTGCTTCTAAGTTTACTCTGGGTATTTAGCACAATTGAATCCCCCATCTTTATCCCCCATCTTTACCCCTCTAAAACCACCTCCCCCCACCCCCCAACCCTCTCTTCTTCTCCCCCCTCCTCCTCTATTCTTCTTCACCCCTCATCCATTTCCCGTGCCCCTCACTTACCACCTCTCAACCCTCGCCGCACATCTCCCGCCCCTCAAGGTGACTTTTGAGTCACCTCAAAAGTCTTCTTCTTCACCCCTCATCCACTACATTTCCCGCGCCCCTCACTTATCACCTCTCAACCCTCGCCGCACATCCCCCACCCCTCACCCCTCACTCCTCGCCCCCACCCTTACGAAATCTCACAAGTGCCCACCCTCCCACCTGTCTTACGTGGCTCCTCATTCCGTGATTGTCACTCCTCCTCACCCCCCCACCCCCACCCTTGTCCCCTCTCTTCTCAAAAACCAACTCACCCCCCCACCCCCACCCTTGTCCCCTCTCTTCTCAAAAACCAACTCACCCCCCCACCCCCACCCTTGTCCCTTGTCCCCTCTCCAGGCATTGTACGAGGTGGGAAACGACAACGCTGCTATCAAACAGATGAGGAACCTTCTCCGAAAGTACCCTGAGGTGAGTGACGGCGCGGAGTAATAGCGACATGTGTGTGTGTATGTATGCATGATGCATGGGGTGAGTGGTGCTGCATTGTCACTCACCTCATATGTATTCATGCATGATGATGCATGGGGTGAGTGAGTGGTACTGCCATCTGAGCAGTGCTGCCATGGATCACTTCGAATCACCGCGAGCTCTCTTTCCCACCCTGCAGGGCGTGAACACTGCCATGTTCTCATCTTTACTTCCGCTCCCCTGCACCTCTGCACCTCTGCAGTTCCCCGACATGCGAGCAGCACTGGCAGTGGCACTCTACGCAGCGGGATTGAGAGCCGAAGCTGAGAACGCCTGGAGCAGAGTCGACGTGAGCTCTCTATTCTGTTCTGTTCTTTTCACCCTCTCTATTCTCATTCCGCACATCTGTTCATCCTTTCTTTCCCCTACCCTGAAGTTTGTATTTCTCTGCTATTTTTCTGCAACCATGGCACTACCTAATGCTTCTCTCCTTGTTACCTCACTCCGCTCCTCTCTAACTCCCTTCCCTCATGCCAAGCTTGTCATTATCGAGAGGGGGATACTGAAAATCGACTCTCTTCTCCTGCCTCTGTTCCCTGCCAGTCTCCCCTGACTCTCTTCCCTGCATGAACTCCGTACCTGTCTGCTCTGCCTTCCAACTTCCAAGCTCCATCCTTCTCATCCCAACCATCCCCTTCCCCATACTCCCACCAGGACGGGCGCAAACGCGACCGCGAGTGGGTATGCTGGTATCGCCGCTGCCCTCCTGTCTGTCCTCCCGGCATCTCCTCCCTGCCTTCCAGGCTCCATCTGTCTCCCCCCAACGCTCTTCTCCCCACCTCCTCCCTCCACTTCCCTCCCCCATCCTCCCATCAGGATGGGCGTTATCGCGATCGCGAGTGGGTGAGCGAGTACCGCCGCTGGCCCCCTCGCCTCGTTTCAGAGCTAGCTGCCTTCCTTGACCTCAAGCCAGTGTAGCTCCTTCCTTGGCAAGCATAAAGACGCATACTGTCGTATTTAATTCTTAGTGCAGCTGACCACTCAACAGCCTTTCTTGACCTCAACCCGGTGTAGCTTGCAGCTGGTTCAATTGCCTCAATAGGGCCTTATTCAGCTGCTGCTGCCCCCCTTGCCTCATTTCAGGGTTACCGTAGCAGTCGCAGCAGCTACTCATGTACCGTGCTTCACAGCTAGGTTGGCCGCGTCAATGAGACAGTTAAGTTTCTATTCATTGTGAAGTGTGTAATAAACTCCTAGTGTACAATCGTTTGTGTCTATGTGAGCTAAGCCAAATCATGCAGGCAAGTTTGTGTCTATGTACACATGCAGTACAAACAGAAAGAAACGAATATTTACAGTAAAGGAGGCATTGTTACAGCCTTTATTACTGTACATTTCATCAGACTACCATAATCACATCACCCCCCCATTCCAGCCTCTAGTGCAACAGTTGCCCCTGCATTGTCCCCATAGTAGCTACCACTGGTGTTGTTGTAACCACTGCTGTTGTTGCCACTGTATATGCTGGCATTTCTGTAGCTATTGTTACCAGAAATGGTAACATTACTGTAGATGTCGTCACCAGAAACGCTAACATTATTGTACCTGTTGCCACTATTGTCGATGCTGCCATTAACATACCCGTTGCGGCTGTTATCTATGCTGACATTACTGTACCTGTTACCATTATTGTAGGTGCTCTCATTGATATACCCACTGCCGTTATTATCGATGCTGACATTATTGTAACGGTTACCACCTCCCCCATCACCACCACAGTCACCACCACACGACACTGTACAGCTCCCGCTCTCACAGCCACTCACATCATCATCAGCAATAGCTCCCACACCACCAACAAGCCCATGATTCTTCACCTCTCCCACAATCTCCTTCACCTCCCCAACTTTCCCATGCTTCTCCCCTCCACCACCCCCCTCGCCATGCTCACCCTGGTAATGACTCTTCTCATCACCATGCTTCCCACCAGTCATCCTCTCCTTTGATTGGCTACTGCTGCTGCCACCACTCCCCATACTGTGACCCTCCATACCACCACCACCATGTGTGCTCCGCTGTGACTGTGGCTCGTTCTGACTCACTGTACCATTGTCCTTAGCCGTTGCTTTGGTGATTGCAATCTGGGTCTGCCTGGTGATTGTCCCACTGTTGTTTAGCTCGTGAATTCCTGAGATTTCCACCGGGCCTTGAAACACGTATGACCGTATGTTAATGCTGCTTGGGAACGGCTTGTGTGACAGTAACGAAGGGTTCCATAGCCAAGAATCACTGTAGTGCTCCTTCGATTTCTTGCTCTTGTGGGATTTCCCACACTTGGAACTTTTTTTGCAGTTGCTGCCCCCTTTCCCTCTTAAGCCGCTTCTCTTCTTCCCTCCACAATGGCTCCCTTGCTGCAGCTTGCGCACTGTAGACCACACGAGGGAAATATGTGACGAGGGCGGAGTGTGGGAAGAGGGAGGTGGGGATGACTTTTGAGGCGCCTAAAAAAGAGTAACGTCTATCAGACTTCATGACCTGAGCATCAGGGAGATAGGGTTCATGAACAGGATTTGCGATTCAGGAGTGCCTGCTTAAAGGTATGGAATGAAAAAAAGCCCAAATATCAGCATCAGAGATATTATCCAATCATAATTTCACCTTGCTTGTCCACAGCGTCTCAAAACTCACCTCGCTTGTCCACATCTTCCAGAAGCTTCTGCCGGAGCTGCTTCAAGCCACGGCTCACAGCGCGTTTCACCTCGTCCTGCATCCATGCCTCCATGCCCTTCCGCGTCTCCTCATCCACCGCTGCCACCACCGCTAGCTTCCTCCGGTTGCTCCTGCTGACGTTGACTGGGCTGCTGCCAGCGTGGACCTTAGGCGGGTCACCCAAGAGCTCGTGGGCCTCAGCAAGCTCTCGGTGATCACTTGCAGCACCCAGTGCTGCGCTGCTTGCGACACGATGCTGTTCAGCATCAAGAGGCGCTGCGTCTGTTGCAAAACCCTGAGCATCCCCAGTAATTGCAGCACCCTGCGCATCCCTAACTGCAGCGCCGCGAGCATCACCAGTTAGACCACCCTGTGCTGCGCTGCTCGCAGCGTGAAGGATTTCGTCTTGATCGACTGCTTTAATGAGTACTTCTTGGCCAATCAGACCACTCGTGCCAAACAGTTCGTGTCCGACGTCCTTAAGAGGTCCTTGCAAGTTGTCGACGTCGCCTCGCAGTCCACCCAGCGCGGTCGACGGGAGGCCATTAGAAGGTTCCGAACGAGCTCCCGCGGATCCCGCTGGAACAGTGGCGACGAGCACTAACAGCAGCGGAACGACTCCGGCAGCAGCGTTAGGAATTCGTCGTGTTGTTTGAGCGTGCTTCACGCGAGAAGTCATTTGTTGGAAGGTCGGAGGTCGGCTGGAATATGGTTCAGTGATTCAACGTTGAAGGGGAATGCGGGGTGTGACGGAATGGGGCCCTGTTTGAACGAGCCACTATTTCTAGTCGCAGAAACACGCTTTCTTTGATGTCTCGTTTTGTTTGGAAAAATTCGCAACGCGACGCGATGCCGCGGCAAGGGGCGGACTGCGCGCCTTGACGGGCGGCGCCTCGAGATATGCTTCATGTTCGTGATGGGTTGACATGCGGCTCGGATCAGTTGTCCCCCGTTGATCCCACTGATTATGTCTGACTCCACGTGGACGGTTAGGATTCACCAAGAGGGTGTGCGATGGGTGACTGGGGAACCACATGTGTCAGATTCTTGGCGTGCTGTCGGGGATGAAACAGAGGTGGGTGGAGGAAGCGCTGTATGATAATACCGCGATGTAGAGAACGAGAAACGTCATGCACAGAGAAGGATTCAATTAGTTACACAATAATATCAGCGACATAATTTTTTGATTCTAACAGCACAGCATCTAATTTAACAGGTTTTCTAGCGCACGTTCTTATTCCTTCAAAAATTCTAGCCGAGCTTGTACCGGAGCAGGTTGGGGAAGCTTTTATGGAGCCGAGGAATTTGTCGCACGACCATGAGATCTAGAACTAGACACCGCAGATGGCGGCAAACGTGCCGCCGCAGGTAACGGCGGGTCACCATCACCTCCACTTTCCAGCGACGCCGTTAAATTCCCTGCCGTCGAGTTTTTGCTTAGAACCGTCATGTTAGACCCATGTTGAGTCTGGGCGTTCCCCAACCCGCTCTCCTGAAATTGCGGGTGGTCTTGCGTCACCGTGGCGTTGTCTCGCGCCAGCGCCGTCGTAAGAGCGAGCTGCGTCTGCAGCGATACGCTGCCCTTGTTCTCGAACGAATGGACGGCCGAGATTTCAATCGGCTTGTTGAACACGTACAGATTCACCGCCATTAGCGGATTCGCGAGGACTTGGTCGCTTCTCCGAGCCGGATGCCCAGACCTGGAAATGGGGTTTGATGACGAGCCTTGCCGTCCGGCCCGGCGTCCGAGGTCCAGCCCTGCAAGACAGCCACGGAATCTATTAGAAGGTCGAATCTCAAACACCGGTGATGTATGACACAATGTCATGCGCCCCGCATACTGCCAGATTTTTCTCACCTTGGCCGTTGATTTGGATTTGAGCAGTCGCAGTCAGTCGTATAAGCGCGTCAGCTAGTAACGCAGCGAGCGACGACGGAAGTTTCTCACTGCCGCCCAGCCGATCCGCAAGCGAAACATCAGTCCCGCTTCCGCTGCTGCCGCTGGTTGACGACTCCCCCTCGGTAGAGTCGTTACACTTCGTGTGATCTTCTCCCGCCCTCGACGAATCGCCGCCGTGAGAACGTTCCGCGGTTTTAATCTCGTCCCCATTCCCTCCCTTTTCTGCCGTTCCGACATTGCCGGCCTCCTCGCGTTCACGGTGACTCTGCTCATGTGTGTTCCCGTTGTCGCTCTTTCCTCTCGTCTCCTTCTTTTCACTCTCGTCTCCATCACTCTTCTCGTTATTCTCCTTCCTTTTGTCCTTCTCGTTTCGCTCCTCGCGCCCGTCACGCCGACTGCTCTCATGACACGTGTCCTTATTCTTCTCAGCATTAGCGTCGTTCCCCACCAGCTCCCCCTTTCCCTCGCCGTCAACTCGTTCGCTTGTGCCTTTTCCCGATCCGGCCGCATTCGACGTATGCCCCTGGTCCCTGTGGTTTCGAACCGCATCACTGCCGGTGGACGTTGATGTATGATTTGAGCCGCCATCGGACTCTGACGCGTTAGTAGAGGGGTTGTTCTTCGTGCTGTCATGCTCGTTACTGTCAGACGCGACAGTGGCGTTGTCATCTGCAAGAACGAGACAACGACGGGAAAGCAGCTCCAATACACGATGACTTTATCAGGCGTTTGCTGGGGGATTGTAACTGATAATCAGGATTCGATCAAGCAACGTCTACAAGCCAAACGCTCGTCAACGTAGAACCAGGCGGAAGTTCCAGTTTTTCCAGTTTTAAAACGACTCACGAGCCAAGCATTCGCCAAAGTGAAAGGTGAGATTTCGCACGAAAGAAACTCACCGCAGAGCGATCTCCTATTCGCGGTCACGACAGGAACACCTGCCGCGTTCGCAATCCTCGCAGCCGTTGCTCCGCTACCAGCGACACTTGAACGATCCGTGTTCAGGGCTCCAGAGTGGACCATCGCGTGACACGTGGAGGTCAAGATCGGGAGCGATAGAATCCAGAAGTACTTGAATTCTTGAGAAATCAAAGGCGATTTTCCGTGAGATGCTACCATTTGCAGTCAGTGTATTCACTACTCGCTGCTAGACTGAGAAAGTGTCTCAGTGCTGTCGGGGAGAAATTGGCGTCCGTGTCCTGACCGGTTAGCTAGCGTCGAAATGCGGCCGAACTGGCTCTAGCCAGGTACCACTGTCAATAAAGCAAAGGTAGGCACACGTGAACAGCCTTTCTCAAGGTTAACAGGAAGGGAGCCGTCAATCGTGCATTTTCCACCCTCAGTAAGGCAGAGCCTCGCGCTATGCTCCCGCTCCGATGAATGGAGCTTACCGGAGCTGTCCTTCGCACAGGAGGGCGCCAGCTCCAGCTCATAAGCGCCCGTGTATAGACGGGAAAGGTACGAGGCGCCATTGATAGCCGCGCAGCCGCCATGGCTGGCCGCACGTTGTACTTGGAAGGGCAAGAAAGACAGCAATTGTGGCTTGTCATGTCAAATCTGGCTCCACCATAAAATAAACATGGCTACACTTTCAAACGTCTACTTATGTGCCAGTGGTTTAGTGGTAGAATAGCACCCTGCCAAACAGCCCGGTGCAGACCCGGGTTCGATTCCCGGCTGGCACAGTCTTGCTGCTGCTACTTTTTGTGATCCCCCACCCCACATGGCCCATAGCACTGACGAGTGCTACTAATTTGTACAAAATGATGGCATTGACACTGAAATCTTGCCCCAGGTGTTGTTGCCCATGCTCCAAGCAAAAAAAAAACACTGTGACAACAGATAAAAAGCTGCAACAATGTATTATTCTCTGATCTTTGCTTGCTTGGTCACGACTCACAATGCTGGCCAATCAAGAAGCAGCAGTGGGTGCTTTCTTCTTCGTCTTGGGCGCGGGTGTCTCGCGAGTGAGCATGCGAGGCGCAATGGCCATGGCCATGAGCTCCTGGAACAACAGCTTGCATGCATATGGCATGTGGACCTGGGGTGAGCAGGGAAAGGAGAACACAAGGCTGTGAGGCACATTAGGTACAATGGCCATGGCCATGAGCTCCTGGAACAACAGCTTGCATGCAGCCAGCTCCTTGACACACCCCTCCCTGCTCTCCTCTTCTTCTAATCTCACCTCCTCCTCTCCTCTCCTTACGTGTGCACCTGCTCCCCCCCTCTCCCCTCTCTCCCCTCTCCCTTCTCCCCTCTTCCCTCACCTGGACAATGTCCGTCTTGTTCTTGCATCCGCGGCACTCCAGCAGCCCCTTCTTGAGGTTCGCGATCGCAATGAGACCGCAGAACTCGCACACGTGCACGCGGTACGCATCGCTGTGGTCAAACAGCCTCTCCTTGAGGAACGCCGCAGCGCCGTGCGCAATCATGCAATCCCGCTCCATCTCTCCGAACCGCAGCCCACCGTCTCTCGACCGACCCTCTGCTGGCTGCCGAGTCAGAATCTGGTAAATTCCACAGGAGTTGAATGGGATTGACAGTGGCCAGAGGGAATATTGAAGTGGTTAGGCCCTGTCCCACGTGTGGACTTATTCATCCACAATGTGCTTGAGGCGCTGGTAGTAGGTGGGGTGGGGCCTGGTAGAAGGTCATGACTCATGCTAGGTACCAGCCTACCCACCCTAGAAGTCTGCTGAGTACCGGCCAACACAACCCTGAAAGAGATAACTCACCTGCACGGGTCCCCTGCCTCGGGAATGGATCTTATCATCCACCATATGCTTGAGGCGCTGGTAGTAGGTGGGGCCCAGGAAGATCATGGCTTGATTGGTACCAGCCAGTCAAGGCCTACCTGTTAATGCCTGCTGGGTACCAGCCTACCAACACACCTACCCGCACCACAGCTACTCACCTGCACGGGCCCTCTCCCTCGGGAATGGATCTTATCGTCCACCATATGCTTGAGGCGCTGGTAGTAGGTGGGGCCCAGGAAGATCATGGCCTGCAGCGGCCGCCCCGTGTGGCCGTTGTACATGCGCTCGAATCCCCGCATCTGGTACCCACACTTGTGCAACGTGCGGCTCAGATTGTCCACCTGTGGAAACAATGGGTAGGTAAGGTAAGAAAGGCATAAGAACAGGCCCGGCCCCTGATGGTGAGGCTACATGCGCTCGAATCCCCTCATCTGGTACCCACACTTGTGCAACGTGCGGCTCAGATTGTCCACCTGGAATGGAATACGTGTGAAGGGTTCAGATGAAAGAAGAGATTTGGGAAGAGTGGATGAAGCAACAGCCACATCTGGTAAGTAACCACACTTGTGCAGCGTCCGCTCCGTGTGGCTTAGATTGTCCACCTGGAGCACCTTTGAGGGACCTCAGAAGGTTTTTTTTAGGCGCCTCAGAAGGTTTTTTTGAGGCGCCTCAGAAGGGTTTTTTGAATGCGCCTCAGAAGGTTATTTTGAGGCGCCTCAGAAGGTTTTTTTGAGGCGCCTCAAAAGTCGCCCCGTGTGGCTCAGATTGTCCACCTGGAGCACACGTATCTGTCAAGGGATTAAGGGAGGGATAGGAAACGCATAAGCGGCGTGAACGATTTGGAGGAGAAAGGTTAGAAATGGAATGAACGACGGCATCATGATGCTTGGAGAGTTCATGCACTGAAGCCCCCACATCTGGCGTGAAGGATGTAAAGCAGCAGACTTGCTTGCTATGACTCGAGAACATACCGTGACGTCAGTGAAGGGTGTGGCATCCCCCTCCTTGCCCATGTGAGCAGCGACTTTGCTCATCAAACATTCAATGAGATGCCCGATGGTCATGCGGGACGGGATGGCGTGCGGGTTGACGATGATATCCGGCGAGATGCCCTCACAGCTGAACGGCATGTCCTCCTGCGTGTACGTCATGCCGATCGTGCCCTTCTGCCCGTGCCGCGACGCAAACTTGTCGCCGATCTGGGGGACTCGGATCGAGCGCACGCGAATCTTGACAAAGCGGAGCCCATCGTTGTTGGTTGTGAGAACCACCTATTTGGTTGGGTTGCATGGGCGAGCATGGCATAGAAAGCAGGAAGAGGGATGAGTGATGCAAACTTGTCGCTGATCTGCGGCACTCGAATCGAGCGCACGCGGATCTTCACAAATCGGAGGCCATCATTGTTGGTTGTCAGAACCACCTGGGGGTTGGTTTTGCACGTGCCAAGGGGAGAGATGGGGAAGACGGAAGCGTCACAACCATAAGGCAAACTTGTCCCCGGATGGATCTTGACGAAACGAAGACCGTCATTGTTGGTTGAAGCGAGCGTTTTTTTAGAATTCTAAAAAAACACCCGGATGGATCTTGACGAAACGAAGCCCGACGTTGTTGGTTGTCAGAACCACCTGGTTGGTTGGGTTGCATGGGCGAGCATGGCATAGCAAGCAGGAAGAGGGATGAGTGATGCAAACTTGTCTCCGATCTGGAAGACTCGAATCGACCGCACGCAGATCTTCACAAACCGGAGGCCATCGTTGTTGGTCGTCAGAACCACCTGGTTGGTTTTGCACGAGCCAAGGCGAGAGATGGGAAGATGGAAGAGGGATGAGTGATGCAAACTTGTCGCCGATCTGCGGCACGCGGATGGAGCGCACGCGGATCTTCACAAAGCAAAGATCATCATTGTTGGTTCTGAGAACCACCTCCCTCTTGCTGAACCGCTGAGCCACATGCGCATGCCCCTCACCCCCTTCCTGCGTACACAAACCCACCTGGTCGATCACGCCGGTCTCGCTGTGCTTGAGGCACGTGCTCGTGTCGCGCTTGCTGAACCGCTGAGCCACACCGCCCGTCTCATCCCACCCTCATGCCCCCCATCCATCCTGGCTGCATCTCACCCCACCTTACCAATCATCCCTCCCTCATGCCCCCCATCCATCCTGGCTGCATCTCACCCCACCTTACCAATCATCCCTCCCTCATGCCCCCCATCCATCCTGGCTGCATCTCACCCCACCTTACCAATCATCCCTCCCTCATGCCCCCCATCCATCCTGGCTGCATCTCACCCCACCTTACCAATCATCCCTCCCTCATGCCCCCCATCCATCCTGGCTGCATCTCACCCCACCTTACCAATCATCCCTCCCTCATGCCCCCCATCCATCCTGGCTGCATCTCACCCCACCTTACCAATCATCCCTCCCTCATGCCCCCCATCCATCCTGGCTGCATCTCACCCCACCTTACCAATCATCCCTCCCTCATGCCCCCCATCCATCCTGGCTGCATCTCACCCCACCTTACCAATCATCCCTCCCTCATGCCCCCCATCCATCCTGGCTGCATCTCACCCCACCTTACCAATCATCCCTCCCTCATGCCCCCCATCCATCCTGGCTGCATCTCACCCCACCTTACCAATCATCCCTCCCCCATGCCCCCCATCCATCCTGGCTGCATCTCACCCCACCTTACCAATCATCCCTCCCCCATGCCCCCCATCCATCCTGGCTGCATCTCACCCCACCTTACCAATCATCCCTCCCTCATGCCCCCCATCCATCCTGGCTGCATCTCACCCCACCTTACCAATCATCCCTCCCTCATGCCCCCCATCCATCCTGGCTGCATCTCACCCCACCTTACCAATCATCCCTCCCTCATGCCCCCCATCCATCCTGGCTGCATCTCACCCCACCTTACCAATCATCCCTCCCTCATGCCCCCCATCCATCCTGGCTGCATCTCACCCCACCTTACCAATCATCCCTCCCTCATGCCCCCCATCCATCCTGGCTGCATCTCACCCCACCTTACCAATCATCCCTCCCTCATGCCCCCCATCCATCCTGGCTGCATCTCACCCCACCTTACCAATCATCCCTCCCTCATGCCCCCCATCCATCCTGGCTGCATCTCACCCCACCTTACCAATCATCCCTCCCTCATGCCCCCCATCCATCCTGGCTGCATCTCACCCCACCTTACCAATCATCCCTCCCTCATGCCCCCCATCCATCCTGGCTGCATCTCACCCCACCTTACCAATCATCCCTCCCTCATGCCCCCCATCCATCCTGGCTGCATCTCACCCCACCTTACCAATCATCCCTCCCTCATGCCCCCCATCCATCCTGGCTGCATCTCACCCCACCTTACCAATCATCCCTCCCTCATGCCCCCCATCCATCCTGGCTGCATCTCACCCCACCTTACCAATCATCCCACCCTCATGCCCCCCATCCATCCTGGCTGCATCTCACCCCACCTTACCAATCATCCCTCCCTCATGCCCCCCATCCATCCTGGCTGCATCTCACCCCACCTTACCAATCATCCCTCCCTCATGCCCCCCATCCATCCTGGCTGCATCTCACCCCACCTTACCAATCATCCCTCCCTCATGCCCCCCATCCATCCTGGCTGCATCTCACCCCACCTTACCAATCATCCCTCCCTCATGCCCCCCATCCATCCTGGCTGCATCTCACCCCACCTTACCAATCATCCCTCCCTCATGCCCCCCATCCATCCTGGCTGCATCTCACCCCACCTTACCAATCATCCCTCCCTCATGCCCCCCATCCATCCTGGCTGCATCTCACCCCACCTTACCAATCATCCCTCCCTCATGCCCCCCATCCATCCTGGCTGCATCTCACCCCACCTTACCAATCATCCCTCCCTCATGCCCCCCATCCATCCTGGCTGCATCTCACCCCACCTTACCAATCATCCCTCCCTCATGCCCCCCATCCATCCTGGCTGCATCTCACCCCACCTTACCAATCATCCCTCCCTCATGCCCCCCATCCATCCTGGCTGCATCTCACCCCACCTTACCAATCATCCCTCCCCCATGCCCCCCATCCATCCTGGCTGCATCTCACCCCACCTTACCAATCATCCCTCCCTCATGCCCCCCATCCATCCTGGCTGCATCTCACCCCACCTTACCAATCATCCCTCCCTCATGCCCCCCATCCATCCTGGCTGCATCTCACCCCACCTTACCAATCATCCCTCCCTCATGCCCCCCATCCATCCTGGCTGCATCTCACCCCACCTTACCAATCATCCCTCCCTCATGCCCCCCATCCATCCTGGCTGCATCTCACCCCACCTTACCAATCATCCCTCCCTCATGCCCCCCATCCATCCTGGCTGCATCTCACCCCACCTTACCAATCATCCCTCCCTCATGCCCCCCATCCATCCTGGCTGCATCTCACCCCACCTTACCAATCATCCCTCCCTCATGCCCCCCATCCATCCTGGCTGCATCTCACCCCACCTTACCAATCATCCCTCCCTCATGCCCCCCATCCATCCTGGCTGCATCTCACCCCACCTTACCAATCATCCCTCCCTCATGCCCCCCATCCATCCTGGCTGCATCTCACCCCACCTTACCAATCATCCCTCCCTCATGCCCCCCATCCATCCTGGCTGCATCTCACCCCACCTTACCAATCATCCCTCCCTCATGCCCCCCATCCATCCTGGCTGCATCTCACCCCACCTTACCAATCATCCCTCCCTCATGCCCCCCATCCATCCTGGCTGCATCTCACCCCACCTTACCAATCATCCCTCCCCCATGCCCCCCATCCATCCTGGCTGCATCTCACCCCACCTTACCAATCATCCCTCCCTCATGCCCCCCATCCATCCTGGCTGCATCTCACCCCACCTTACCAATCATCCCTCCCTCATGCCCCCCATCCATCCTGGCTGCATCTCACCCCACCTTACCAATCATCCCTCCCTCATGCCCCCCATCCATCCTGGCTGCATCTCACCCCACCTTACCAATCATCCCTCCCTCATGCCCCCCATCCATCCTGGCTGCATCTCACCCCACCTTACCAATCATCCCTCCCTCATGCCCCCCATCCATCCTGGCTGCATCTCACCCCACCTTACCAATCATCCCTCCCTCATGCCCCCCATCCATCCTGGCTGCATCTCACCCCACCTTACCAATCATCCCTCCCTCATGCCCCCCATCCATCCTGGCTGCATCTCACCCCACCTTACCAATCATCCCTCCCTCATGCCCCCCATCCATCCTGGCTGCATCTCACCCCACCTTACCAATCATCCCTCCCTCATGCCCCCCATCCATCCTGGCTGCATCTCACCCCACCTTACCAATCATCCCTCCCTCATGCCCCCCATCCATCCTGGCTGCATCTCACCCCACCTTACCAATCATCCCTCCCTCATGCCCCCCATCCATCCTGGCTGCATCTCACCCCACCTTACCAATCATCCCTCCCTCATGCCCCCCATCCATCCTGGCTGCATCTCACCCCACCTTACCAATCATCCCTCCCTCATGCCCCCCATCCATCCTGGCTGCATCTCACCCCACCTTACCAATCATCCCTCCCTCATGCCCCCCATCCATCCTGGCTGCATCTCACCCCACCTTACCAATCATCCCTCCCTCATGCCCCCCATCCATCCTGGCTGCATCTCACCCCACCTTACCAATCATCCCTCCCTCATGCCCCCCATCCATCCTGGCTGCATCTCACCCCACCTTACCAATCATCCCTCCCTCATGCCCCCCATCCATCCTGTCTACATCTCACCCCACCTTACCAATCATCCCTCCCACCTGGTCGATCACGCCTGTCTCGCTGTGCTTGAGGCAAGTGCTCATGTCGCGCTTGCTGAACCGCTGAGCCACACCGCCCGTCTCATCCGGAGGAATGGGCATTGTCTTGCCGATGATCACATCCTCTGCTGCCACTCGCGAGCCCTGTAATGGTTCAGAGCGGTGAGGAGGTGTTAGGAAGGGTTTGGAGGCATTAGGAGTGGTTAGGAAGGGTTAGCAAGGCACAGCGGGTGTAGGGGAGGGAGGTGCGAGGAGGAATGGGCATCGTCTTGCCGATGATCACATCCTCTGCTGCCACTCGTGAGCCCTGGAATGGTTCAGAGCGGTGAGAAGGGGTTAGGAAGGGTTTGGAGGCATTAGGAGTGGTTAGGAGGGGTTAGCAAGGCGCAGCGGGCGTAGGGGAGGGAGGGGCGAGGAGGGATGGACGTCGTCTTGCCGATGATCACGTCCTCTGCTGCCAATCACGAGCCATGGAACGATCGGATAACGTGAAACGAGATAAACAGGACAAAGTGAAGAGTGCAATCAATCACAATTGCATCTAGTGTGCCACTGCAAGCAACACAGGACATGCCCACACTGAAAACCGACTCAGAGCGAACTCACTGTGAAATCTCAAGACTGCTTTCATATCCTCTACTGTACCAGTTCCACCGATGACCCCATTCCCACTCCACCCGCAGTTCCTCCCGTACCTAGTTCGGTGTATTCTATCAATAATAATAATAAAAAAAGGTTTCCTCTCGTACCTAGTGGCCAGCCCCCCCTTTCCTCCCGGTACACTCAATCCCCCTCCCAACCCCAGGCTTTCACCTCTAGTTCCATTCATATGCTGACCCCGTCACACCCCTTCCATGAGGGTCCTTCTAGTTTCATTCATATGCTGACCCCGTCACACCCCTTCCATGAGGGTCCTTCTAGTTCCATTCATATGCTGACCCCGTCACACCCCTTCCATGAGGGTCCTTCTAGTTCCATTCATATGCTGACCCCGTCACACCCCTTCCATGAGGGTCCTTCTAGTTCCATTCATATGCTGACCCCGTCACACCCCTTCCATGAGGGTCCTTCTAGTTCCATTCATATGCTGACCCCGTCACACCCCTTCCATGAGGGTCCTTCTAGTTCCATTCATATGCTGACCCCGTCACACCCCTTCCATGAGGGTCCTTCTAGTTCCATTCATATGCTGACCCCGTCACACCCCTTCCATGAGGGTCCTTCTAGTTTCATTCATATGCTGACCCCGTCACACCCCTTCCATGAGGGTCCTTCTAGTTCCATTCATATGCTGACCCCGTCACACCCCTTCCATGAGGGTCCTTCTAGTTCCATTCATATGCTGACCCCGTCACACCCCTTCCATGAGGGTCCTTCTAGTTCCATTCATATGCTGACCCCGTCACACCCCTTCCATGAGGGTCCTTCTAGTTCCATTCATATGCTGACCCCGTCACACCCCTTCCATGAGGGTCCTTCTAGTTCCATTCATATGCTGACCCCGTCACACCCCTTCCATGAGGGTCCTTCTAGTTCCATTCATATGCTGACCCCGTCACACCCCTTCCATGAGGGTCCTTCTAGTTCCATTCATATGCTGACCCCGTCACACCCCTTCCATGAGGGTCCTTCTAGTTCCATTCATATGCCGACCCCGTCACACCCCTTCCATGAGGGTCCTTCTAGTTCCATTCATATGCCGACCCCGTCACACCCCTTCCATGAGGGTCCTTCTAGTTCCATTCATATGCCGACCCCGTCACACCCCTTCCATGAGGGTCCTTCTAGTTCCATTCATATGCTGACCCCGTCACACCCCTTCCATGAGGGTCCTTCTAGTTCCATTCATATGCTGACCCCGTCACACCCCTTCCATGAGGGTCCTTCTAGTTCCATTCATATGCTGACCCCGTCACACCCCTTCCATGAGGGTCCTTCTAGTTCCATTCATATGCCGACCCCGTCACACCCCTTCCACCGGCCAGAAGGACTAATCAGAATTGTCAAACGCGTTTGGTGGGAAATCCAATAGGAAAACTCACCGGAGGGATGATGCCATCATCGTCCAGCTTGTCATATGACCCGTGCCGCATGCCCTGATACATGAACAGCAAGGGGAGACAGGGCAGACACGGCAGAGAGGGACGAGGGTGAGGGTCAGCAAGCGAGGGGCCTGATGCCATCATCGTCCAGCTTGCTATATGACCCGTGCCGCATGCCACGTGATAAAAGTGTTGTTTTGAGACGTCTCAAAACAACACTTTTATCACGTCAGCAAGCGAGGGGCCTAATGCCAGCATCACCCACCCAGATTGCTATGTGACCCGTGCCGCATGCCCTGGTGGTGCACCGCACCACACCAACGGGGGGACAGGGCAGAAACGGCAGAGACAAAAACGGGAGGCGGCTTGTCGTAAGAAATCTCTAAAGAGGGCAAGAACAAGAGTGGGGATGATGCCATCATCGTCCAGCTTGTTGTATGACCCGTGCCACATGCCCTGATGAGGAGATGGGGATAGGCACGAGGCTGGAGCAGATGGGAAGAACGGTGAGTCGATGGATCGGATCGCATCACACCCCTAGATCCATGCAGTGATAAGCCTGTTTTTGAGTCGACTAAAAAACGAGTCGATGGATCGGATCGCATCACACCCCTAGATCCATGCAGTGATAAGCCTGTTTTTGAGTCGACTAAAAAACGAGTCGATGGATCGGATCACATCACACCCCTAGATCCATGCAGTGATTTGGGTGTGTCGCTATTGAGACTTCAAAACAATGCACGCGTGCAGTGAGGGACAAAGAATTGTGCCCAATCTCATCCCACACCCACACCCGCAAACCACACCCGCACCCCCAACCACACCCCCAGCCACACTCACACCTGCACCCACACCGTCATGCAGGGCCATATCATGGTGTCGTTTTGTCATGCCATCCCATGGTCATGCCATCCCATGGTCATGCCATCCCATGGTCATGCCATCCCATGGTCATGCCATCCCATGGTCATGCCATCCCATGGTCATGCCATCCCATGGTCATGCCATGCCATGGTCATGCCATGCCATGGTCATGCCATGCCATGGTCATGCCATCCCATGGTCATGCCATCCCATGGTCATGCCATGCCATGGTCATGCCATCCCATGGTCATGCCATCCCATGGTCATGCCATCCCATGGTCATGCCATCCCATGGTCATGCCATCCCATGGTCATGCCATCCCATGGTCATGCCATGCCATGGTCATGCCATGCCATGGTCATGCCATGCCATGGTCATGCCATGCCATGGTCATGCCATCCCATAGTCATGCCATCCCATGGTCATGCCATCCCATGGTCATGCCATCCCATGGTCATGCCATCCCATGGTCATGCCTTGCCATGGTCATGCCATGCCATGGTCATGCCATGCCATGGTCATGCCATCCCATGGTCATGCCATCCCATGGTCATGCCATCCCATGGTCATGCCATGCCATGGTCATGCCATGCCATGGTCATGCCATGCCATGGTCATGCCATGCCATGGTCATGCCATCCCATAGTCATGCCATCCCATGGTCATGCCATCCCATGGTCATGCCATGCCATGGTCATGCCATCCCATGGTCATGCCATGCCATGGTCATGCCATCCCATGGTCATGCCATGCCATGGTCATGCCATCCCATGGTCATGCCATCCCATGGTCATGCCATGCCATGGTCATGCCATGCCATGGTCATGCCATCCCATAGTCATGCCATCCCATGGTCATGCCATCCCATGGTCATGCCATCCCATGGTCATGCCATGCCATGGTCATGCCATGCCATGCAAAGGTGACAGGGCGGGCATGACTCACCATGGTGATTTCTCGGTTGGGACGCTCAAACTCCTCGTTCACCATGCTTCCACTCTTCTTCTCCTCGTCCCTGCGAAGGGGAGGAATGTGGGTGAGAGCAAGAGTGAGAGAGGGAGGGACGAGTGGGAGGGAGGGACAGCAAGGACAACACAAAACTCAAACTCCTCGTTCACCATGCTTCCACTCTTCTTCTCCTCGTCCCTGCGGCACAGGGTGCGCAAAAGACGTGACAGTAAGAAGGTTGAGTGAAAGGTTGAAGGCATGCAGTACAGAGCTTATTGTTATCCACGCAGCCACTCTTCTTCTCCTTGTCCGAGAGAAGGTTAAAGTATGAAAAGGTTGAGAGTGATGGAATGACTCGAGAGAGGGGTGAGAGTAAGGAATGAGGGTTAGAGGGGTGAGATTGAGTGAGAGCTGAGTGAGGGATTTTGTTTATCTATAATAAACAGAGAATCCCTTGTTCACCAACCAAGAAGCACCTGTAGGACTTGAAGACGATGGAGCGGTGGAAGCCGCGGTCGATGGACGACTGGTTCATGATGACCGAGTCCTCCTGGTTGTAGCCCGAGTACGACAGGATCGACACTATGGCGTTCTGCGATGGTGGAGTGGAGAGGGAGACATCACAGAATACATACGGAATTGATGGACACTGAAAGAGAGGAGGGAAGGATTGGTTCACGATGACCGAGTCCTCCTGGTTGTAGCCCGAATAGCTCAGAATGGACACTATGGCGTTCTGGAAGGGGGGGGGAGGGAAACACAGCACAACATGCATGGAAAGCGACGAAGAGAGGAGGGAGAGAGCAGTTCATGCATGATGCCCGAGACCTCCTGGTTGTACCCCGAGCAACACAGGATAGACGGAACTATGGCATTATGTATGTGTATTATATGTGAACATGTGCATGCATGATGTAGCCTCCTGCGCAAGCCTCATGCGCAAGGAAACATGTGCATGCATGATGTATGTATGTGTGTAGTGTGGTGTGGATGAGTGTGAGCTATGAATTGGTTGACTCACGGCTCCCAGAATGCAGTTCACGGAAGTGAAGGTGTTCCATGGCGCGCGTGGTGGCAAGGGGATTGTGCGTGTGTGAGAGTACATGCATGCATGTAGTGTATGTATGTACGTACACATGTACATATGCATTATGTATGTGTGATTGACTCACGACCCCAGCAGGCAGTTCACGGAAGTGAAGGTGTTCCATGGTGCGCGTGGTGGCGAGTGGCTTGTGCGTGTGTGTGTGTTAGCCAATGCACGTGCGTGGGGAAGAGATATGCCAACCATTGCCCCATCCCACTCACAATCCCAGCGGGCAGTTCACGGAAGTGAAGGTGTTCCATGGCGCGCGTGGTGGCGAGGGGCTTGTGCGTGTGTAAGCACGTGTGAGGGACCACGTGCATGTATGTATGTGAGCAATTGCCTCATGGACTTACAATCCCAGCAGGCAGCTCGCGGAAGTGAAGGTGTTCCATGGCGCGCGTGGTGGCGAGGGGTTTGCCTGCGTGTGTACAGACATTACCCTTACCTACAGACATCCCACTCACAATCCCAGCAGGCAGCTCGCGGAAGTGGAGGTGTTCCATGGCGCGCGTGGTGGCGAGGGGCTTCTGGGGGTAGTAGAGGACGTAGGCAACGGTGTCCATGCGCGACTGGTAGTTGGTCACATACATGCCCATCGCCTGCTTCCCCATCGCCGACTGATACGTGTTCCTGGGGGACTGGTGGGGTGAGGAGGGGTGCGGCGAAGGGGGATAGAGGACGGGCAACAGACAAAGGAGGGAAGGAGGCGTGGAACATGAGTAGTTGGTCTCATACATGCCCATCGCCTGCTTGCCCATCGCCTGCTTGCCCATCGCCTGCTTGCCCATCGCCGATTGGTCCGTGTTCTTCTTGGGGGACTGGGGTGCGTTGAAAGGGTGGGGGAAGGGAAGAGAGTGGCGAGATGGATGTGACAAGGCAGCAGGTGAGGTTAATAGCTGCTCGAGTGCATGGGTTTTTCAGGCGCCTCGAAGGTTTTGAGGGGCCTCATAACTGGTCGAGTGCATGGGCACAGGCGGCAGATAAATGGAAAGCACCGACAAATAACTTGCTGGACTTCTGGGTAATTGACTGGTTGTGATCAGGGGAGGTGTTACCCGGTGGGGTGAGGAAAGGCGTTACCTGGTTGTGCAGGAAAGGCGTTACCTGGTTGTGCAGGAAAGGCGTTACCTGGTTGTGCAGGAAAGGCGTTACCTGGTTGTGCAGGAAAGGCGTTACCTGGTTGTGCAGGAAAGGCGTTACCTGGTTGTGCAGGAAAGGCGTTACCTGGTTGTGCAGGAAAGGCGTTACCTGGTTGTGCAGGAAAGGCGTTACCTGGTTGTGGCGGCTCGGGGGAGGTGCCACGTGACTGCAGTCCGGGGAGGTGTTACCTGGTTGTGGTCGGGGGAGGTGTTACCTGATTGTGGTCGGGGAATTTGGCTGCAGTGAAGGGAGGTGTTACTTACCTGGTTGTGGTCGGGGAAGGGGATGATGGAGGCGCAGACGCCGAGGATGAGCGAGGGGTGGATCTCGCAGTGTGTGTATGTGTCGCTGTAGGCCTCCGTGGGGTTCAGCCGTGCCGCTGTCACGTCCTGAAAGCAGATGGGAGGTGCACACACAGATGGGACGAAATGATGAGATCCACAGAAAGGACGGGAGGATGAGCGAGGGGTGGATCTCGCAGTGCGTGTATGTGTCGCTGTAGGCCTCTGTGGGGTTCAGCCGCGCTGCTGTCACGTCCTGACAGAGGATGAGAGGGAGGAGTGAAGGGGATATATAACTTATAAGTGAAGGGAGGGGAAGGAGAGGTGGATCTCGCATCGCAAGCAGTGTGTGTACGTGTCACTGTATGCCTCCGTGGGGTTGGGCCGTGCCGCTGTCACGTCCTGAAAGCAGATGGGAGGTGCACACACAGATGGGACGAATTGATGAGATCCACAGAAAGGACGGGAGGATGAGAGAGGGGTGGATCTCGCAGTGCGTGTACGTGTCACTGTAGGCCTCCGTGGGGTTCAGTCGTGCCGCTGTCACGTCCTGACAGGAAGAGAGGCAGATGTGAATGGGATAGAAGTGAAATCTAAGGGAGGGGAAGGAGGGGCGGATCTCACATTGCAAGCAGTGTGTGTACGAGGCACTGTATGCCTCCGATTTTTGAGGCGCCTAAAAAATCGTCTCAACGCACGCGGATTTTATGTGGAGAGAATTTTAACTACGAGGCACTGTATGCCTCCGTAAGGTTCAGCCGGGCTGCTGTCACGTCCTGGAATGAAGGGAGCAGGGGCGGAGCATGAATGGTCATCATGGAGATCATAGTGGACTCTTCCTCCATCGTATCCACGTATTCAATAAACCCTTCCAGGGTACGATGGAAGACTCTCCCTTCATAGTAGACTCTCCACCACCAGCTCCTTCCACCCGATGCCCAGGAGGGTCCTAGGGGCATGTCAGCCCACAGCAGCACAAGACTACAGCACTCACACGAATTGAGATGATGGCAGCACTCACACGAATTGAGATGATGGCAGCACTCACACGAATTGAGATGATGGCAGCACACACATGAGTGGTCATGGAGATAATGGTAGACTCTTCCTCCATCGTATCCACATACTCGATAAACCCCTTCTCCATCACCACCTCGTTCCACCCCATGCCCGACATACGCATTCAAACTGCAGACTTGTGAATGTTGTAATGCATGTACGTACGGAATGCTGTGAGTGAGATTGCAGCACTCACATGGATGGTCATGGAGATCATGGTCGTTTCCTCCTCCATCGTATCCACATATTCTATAAACCCCTTCTCCACCAGCTCGTTCCACCCGATGGCCGAGCCCTCCTGCTGCATCCAAGCTGAAGAGCTGCGCTGATTGTATTTATGTATCCACTCCCGTGAGTGAGATAGAAACACTCACATGGATGGTCATGGAGATCATGGTAGTCTCCTCCTCCATGGTATCCACGTATTCGATAAACCCCTTCTCCACCAGCTCGTTCCACCCGATGCCTGACCCCTCCTGCTGCAGCGCCAGCACATCACGCTTCTTGATCAGCAGCCGCTGCTTCTCCACGATAAAAAGCGGGCGGGAGCACCGCCCGTAATCCGTGTAGAGCCGTAACTCTCTGAGACGGATGTCACGCACCACACTCACTTCCGAGTTCACATCCAGCTGGGATGGGGAAGGGAGAAAAGGAAATGGGGGGGGAGGGGGAGGGAGACGGGCAGGTGCTTCTTGACAAGCAGCCGCTGCTTCTCCACTATGAAGAGCGGGCGGGAGCACTGCCCGTAATCCGTGTATAGGCCCAGCTCCCTCAGGCGGATGTCACGCACCACTGAGACCTCTGAGTTCACGTCCAGCTGGATGGATGGCGGGGAAGAAGGGGAGAAGGGGACCAGGGAGACGGACAGAAGGGAGCAACAAAGAGTTTTGAGACGTCTCAAAACACTTATTCATACACATAGCTGGATGGATGGCGGGGATGAAGGGGAGAAGGGGAGCAGGGAGACGGAGAGAAGGGAGCAACAAAGAGTTTTGAGACGTCTCAAAACACTTATTCATACACATAGCTGGATGGATGGCGGGGAAGAAGGGGAGAAGGGGACCAGGGAGACGGACAGAAGGGAGCAACAAAGAGTTTTGAGACGTCTCAAAACACTTATTCATACACATAGCTGGATGGATGGCGGGGAAGAAGGGGAGAAGGGGACCAGGGAGACGGAGAGAAGGGAGCACCAAAGCACACGTCCAAGGTATTGTGCGTCTGAGCTTAGTTCCGATGCAAACGCACCCTCCCAGCAGCCCCACCCAGCAGCCGTGAGCTCCCAGGTCGTGATGCACTCCCACCCAGCAGCAAATGAGTGCAAACCACGCCACGCTACGCCACGCCACGCCACGCCACGCCACACCACACCACATCCAAACAAACTACAAAAGCCTCACCTGTCTCCGGAGCTGTCTCAGCGTGCGCACGAGCTCATCCGGGTCGCGATGGACGCCCACCCAGCAGCCGTTGACAAACACCTTGGTGGCCTGCGGGATGAGCGCTGGGGAGATCTCCTGGTGAAGGGAAGGGACGGGAGAGAGGAGAGGGTGGGGGAAGGAGGGTGAGAAGAGAAGGCAGCAGAAGGTACGAGAAGTCAAAAGGGCCGCACCCCACCCCACCCCACCCCACCCCACCCCACCCCACCACCACGTCTTGTGTGCACGCCCTCATATTGCGTGAACAACTCATAACGAGCATACCTCGAGATTCTCAGTCAGCCACTCCTCAAGAAACTCCAGGATGGGAGCGGCGTTGCTCCCCACAGTGACGTACGTCATGAGCGCGAGGCTCTTCACCAGCCCCACAACCTGCCTATCTGCCGCCTGTGTTGCTCCCTCCCTCAATCCATACAAAACGAGCGTACCTTGAGGTTCTCCATGAGCCACTCCTCCAGAAACGCCAAGATAGGGGCAGCGTTGCTGCCCACAGTGATGTATGTCATGAGCGCGAGATTCCTCACCAGCCCCACCGCGTGCATGCCTGCCGCCTGTGCTGCTCCCCCAAACCACACAAGCCCTGATTGTGTGCGGAGTGGGTAACAACAAACGTACCTCCAGGTTCTCAGTGAGCCACTCTTCCAGGAACTCCAGAATAGGAGCGGCATTGCTGCCCACAGTGATGTACGTCATGAGCGCGAGGTTCCTCACCACCCCACGGCCTGCCCCTCAGGGTCCCTTCCAGAACCCACTTCGACTTGAATTGACTTGCATTGACTGAAAAAAAAAATGGGAACACATAGAGGCCGTACCTCGAGGTTCTCCGTAAGCCACTCTTCCAGAAACTCCAGGATGGGAGCGGCGTTACTCCCCACAGTGATGTACGTCATGAGCGCGAGGTTCTTCACCAGCCCCACCCAGCCCCACCCATCCACTGCCGTCTGCCCTCCCCACAAAACCACCACACAACCCAATCGTACCTCGAGATTCTCAGTGAGCCACTCTTCCAGAAACTCCAGGATGGGAGCGGCGTTGCTGCCTACAGTGATGTACGTCATGAGCGCCAGGTTCTTCACCAGCCCCACGGCCTGCCCCTCGGGGGTCTCAGCGGGGCACATCATGCCCCACAGCGAGTTGTGCAGCTGCCTCGGCTTCGCCAGCTTGCCGTCGCGACCGATGGGCGAGTTGAGGCGGCGCAGATGGGACAGGGAGGACGCGTAGGCCAGACGATTCAGCACCTGTGGTTCAGGTCAGGAGTGGGAGGTAGAGCAGCACAGGGCAGCAGGAGGACGAGTGAGTTTGGAAATGGGTGAGAGTGAGGGAGTGGGTGGGAAGGGGGAGTGGAGCCCTATCCCACGGCCTGCCCCTCGGGGGTCTCAGCGGGGCACATCATGCCCCACAGCGAGTTGTGCAGCTGCCTCGGCTTCGCCAGCTTGCCGTCTTGACCGATGGGCGAGTTGAGGCGGCGCAGATGGGACAGGGAGGACGCATAAGCCAGACGATTCAGCACCTGCAGGGCAGAGGCGCGCGGGTGGGATTGGAGGAGGAGAGCAGAGGCGCGCGGGTGGGTGGGATGGGATGGGATGGGATGGGATGGGATGGGATGGGATGGGATGGGATGGGATGGGATGGGATGGGATGGGATGGGATGGGATGGGATGGGATGGGATGGGATGGGAGGAGGAGAGCAGAGGCAGCAGGGGCATGAGTGGGCTTGGGATGGCTTCGCCAGCTTGCCGTCGCGCCCGATGGGCGAGTTAGAGCCGGCACAGATGGGAGAGGGAGGACGTGTAGGAGGCAATTCAGCACCTACAGTTCAGTGATGGGTGGAAAAATAACTCAAATTTATTGTTGAAGTGTGAAGATGGGCGATTTGAGGTGTCGCAGATGTGAGCGAGAGGACCCATGGGCGAGAAGATTCAGGGCACACGCACCATAAGTCAGCTTTGGTGCCCGCCTGGTTGGCCCGCCCCTAATTGCCCGTGGAGACAGAAATTCTTGCAGCGAGAGCAGTAAATGTACCTGCGATACCTTGCTATCAGCCTGTGCAGTCACAGTTTTGAGCACCCCACCTGTGTGACGACACCCCCGCCTTGGTGCCCGCCTGGTTGGCCTGTCCGCAGTTGCCCGTAGCCACAGAGTACTTGCAGAGAGAGCAATCGACGTACCTACCTGTGACACATTGTTCTCAGTAAGAGCACCACCATACCTGTGACACCCCCGCCTTGGTGCCGGCCTGGTTGGCCTGCCCCCAGTTACCCGTGGCCACCGAGTACTTAAGCCCGCCTGTAATGATCTTCGCCTTCACTGCATACGACAGGTTGATCTCCTTGCCGTGATCCATGCACTGGCGAGGGAGACATGTGGAGGGAAGCCGAGATAGAGAGTAAAAACACAGGGAACAAGAGGCCACAGAGAACAAGAGCCAGAGAGAGAGAGACACTGGTGGCAAAAAAAAAGTCACTGGTGGCACCAGTCACGGGCGCACATGGGCGCACATGGGCGCACTGGAGACAGAAGCCTACACACCCATGTGCGCCCGTCCCCACGTGTGTTCTTACCCGCTGCAGGTACCCTTGCACATCCTTGGTGAGCTTGCGGAACAGCTGGGCACATGCCATGACAGGTGGGTGGGGCGCACACAGATGGGGCAAGGGCACGTGGGGGCAAGGGAGGATGAATGAAGGTGAATAAGCACATGTGATCACAAGTGGGGACATGACAGGTCACGCAATGACAGGTGGGGGAGCACAGCCCCCCATGCCCGAACATGCACAGAGCCCCTTATGAAATGCCCGAACAAACTGCAGCCTTCCACTCATTGGGAGCTATGCGGCAAGGCACCGGCATGGCATTGGGAGTGTCGAGTGCCAGTCCATGCAGCAAGGCACCGGCACACGACACTCCCAATGCAGTGCCCAGACGACTTTTGAGGCGCCGCAAAGGGCACACTCACGATGCCATGCCCGGAGACACACACCCACCTGGCGGAAGAGCCCTGCGAGCAGCGGGCCAGCGAGATCCAGGCGCTTGTTGCCGAAGTGATCCCTGTCGTCCTCGTCTCAGGCAGCACAGCCACTCCTTCATTCATGCCATACCCCACCGCACACCACCCCTCCATACCTGGCGGAAGAGCCCTGCGAGCAGTGGGCCGGCAAGGTCGAGGCGCCTGTTGCCATAGTGATCCCTGTCGTGTCGTCCTCGTTGCTGGGAGCACGTTGCACAACACAGCCACCCCCTCCATGCCATGCCATGCCTCAGGCCAAAGCACACCGTCCCTCCATGCCATGCCCCACCGCACACCACCCCTCCGTACCTGGCGGAAGAGCCCTGCGAGCAGCGGCCCGGCAAGGTCGAGGCGCTTGTTGCCGTAGTGATCCCTGTCGTCCTCGTTGCGCCGCCCCAGCGCACACAGCAGCAGCCGGTGAATCATGTACCTGGGGGGTAAGGGGAGGAAGAGGGGGGGGGGGGGGGGAGGTGAAGTCGGGAAAGGCAGGGATGAAAGGGTCAGGAAGGGGACGCGGATCAGTGAAAAAGGGTCGGGAAAAAGGGTCGGGAAAAAGGGTCGGGAAAAAGGGCCGCCTGTTTCGCTAATCAGGGAGAAACAGGTAGTCCATGTCCAGTCTAACAAGTCTTGCCGTGAAATTGATAAGTAACCATGCTCGAACAAAGGAAATGCTCACCCAAAGAAATAGGCCTTTTTGGTTTCACAAAACTCGCCCACACCCACGTGGGGCAAGAACTCCCTCTGGAGAATATCCTTGGCGTACCTGTGGAAGAGAGGGGGGGGGGGGCGGGGGGGGGGGGGGGGGGAAAGTGAAGGAAGAAGAGGGAGAAGGAAGAAAGTTGAGAGCGTGGTGGCACTTGAATAGATAATTCGGCAAGCAAACAAGCACACAAGCATACAAGCACACAAGCATACAAGCACACAAGCATACAAGCACACAAGCACACAAGCAAACAAGAACACAAGCACACAAGCACACAAGCATACAAGCACACAAGCACACAAGCACACAAGCACACAAGCACACAAGCACACAAGCATACAAGCACACAAGCACACAAGCATACAAGCACACAAGCACACAAGCGCACAAGCACACAAGCACACAAGCACACAAGCACACAAGCATACAAGCACACAAGCACACAAGCATACAAGCACACAAGCACACAAGCACACAAGCATACAAGCACACAAGGACACAAGCACACAAGCACACAAGCACACAAGCACACAAGCATACAAGCACACAAGCACACAAGCATACAAGCACACAAGCACACAAGCACACAAGCACACAAGCACACAAGCACACAAGCACACAAGCACACAAGCACACAAGCACACAAGCACACAAGCATACAAGCACACAAGCACACAAGCATACAAGCACACAAGCACACAAGCACACAAGCACACAAGCATACAAGCATACAAGCACACAAGCACACAGTTTCTGTGAAAACAAAATTAATTTGAAATGGCACTTTCCCACACGAATCTGCTCTCACGTGCCTGGCTAGGTTCCAATGAGACGCTGAAAAAGAAGGCTTGCATTTCTCTTGAGCAAGCACACACGACACGAGCACACAAGCACACAAGCTCTTACACATGTGGGTGGCTCTATGGAGTTCTGTAGAAATAGCTAGCACACTCACTTTATTCTTCGCTCGCGTGGCGCACCCACTGGCACGCCTCGCTTGCCAATGTAATCCAGAGCCACCTGACATGGTGGCAACAAGGAGAGGGAGGAGGAGAATAAACGAGACTTTAAGTTTAAATCGACTCAAGGATGCACGGTGCACCCACCGGCACGCCTCGCTTGCCTATGTAATCCAGAGCCACCTGATGTGGCAGCAAGGGGAGGGAGGAGGAGAATGGACGGAGGCCACGTGGGTGCGAAATGGTGAGATCATGGAGGGAAAAAAATGGTGGCATGGTAGCAGCAAGGGAAGGTAGGAGGAGAATAGACAAAAGATGAACGAGGAAACAACTCCCCTCCCTTCCCCCAAAAATAATCACACTCACAGTGACAAAAGCAGAATGATGGAAGCAGCAGCGACAGAAGAAGAATGATGGAAGTTGAGAAAGAGGAGAGGGAGGCAGGTAACCATGCATTTAGCATGAGGAATAGTCTGAATCACAAATGCCTCCTCGAGCAATGGCCTGAGCAGCTCCACCATGGCGGTATCAGTGAAGTCATAGCACACATGCTCCATGATATCCTTGTCTGCCACGAAGCCCAGCGCGTGCAGGCTGGCAGGTAGGCAGGTAGGCAGGGAGCAACTCAACTCACGCATGCACCCATGCCCGCACCGCACCCATGCCCGCACCGCACCCATGCCCGCACCGCACCCATGCCCGCACCGCACCCATGCCCGCACCGCACCCATGCCCGCACCGCACCCATGCCCGCACCGCACCCATGCCCGCACCGCACCCATGCCCGCACCGCACCCATGCCCGCACCGCACCCATGCCCGCACCACACCCATGCCCGCACCGCACCCATGCCCGCACCGCACCCATGCCCGCACCGCACCCATGCCCGCACCGCACCCATGCCCGCACCGCACCCATGCCCGCACCGCACCCATGCCCGCACCGCACCCATGCCCGCACCGCACCCATGCCCGCACCGCACCCATGCCCGCACCGCACCCATGCCCGCACCGCACCCATGCCCGCACCGCACCCATGCCCGCACCGCACCCACCTGCTGGTTTTGAATCACGAAGGCCTCTTCTAGCGATGGCCTGAGCAGCTCCATCATGGCAGTGTCAGTGAAGTCGTAGCACACATGCTCCATGATGTCTTTATCCGCCACGAACCCCAGCGCGCGGAACACCACGATGATCGGGATCTCCGCCTTGATGTACGGGAGGGTCGCTCGAATCACCTGCCCTGACGATCCCTGCAAATAATGCGTTCAAGTTCAGTGGCGGGAAAAGGATTGGGGACATGAGTTGGATGGAAGGAGCACCACGATGATCGGGATCTCTGCCCTGATGTACGGGAGGGTCGCTCGGATCACCTGCCCTGATGAGCCCTGCAGGAGTCGTCAAGACAAGACAAGTTCAACAGAGCGAACCGTATTAGAAACATAAATTGGGGTTAACGAACACCACGATGATGGGAATCTCCTCTGCTTTGATGTACGGGAGGGTGGCCCGGGGATCACATGCCCTGATGAACCCTGCGGGTGCGGTCAAGTCAAGTCCAGTAGTTGGAGAGGCATGGGTTGGTTGGATTAAACGAACACCACGATGATTGGGATCTCCTCCGCTTTGATGTATGGGAGGGTGGCCCGAATCACTTTTGAGAATCGCTTTGATGTATGGGAGGCGCCTCAATAGTGGCCCGAATCACTTGCCCTGATGAATCGCTTTGATGTATGGGAGGCGCCTCAATAGTGGCCCGAATCACTTGCCCTGATGAACCCTGAAGACCGGGGTGGAAGGCAAGGAGAAGGACGGGAACACGGAACAGATCAATGGCCATTCCAGTTTGCACAGCGAGCGGGAGGAGAAACATACCGTGGCGTGGCAGAACGTGATAGACATCATGTCACCTACCGCCTTGAACGAGGGTAGGAGGGAGACACGTACACCGCTTTGCAGGAGGAGGAAGAAGGAGGAGAGGAGGAACGTACCGATTTGGTAGAAGAACGGGAGAGCATGCGGATGAAGCAGGAGCTGGGCGGGCGGTTCTGCCTCTCCGCCATGCTCCTCACCTCCGCCACGTACGCGTACTTGTTCGGCTGCCGCTTCTGAAACACATACACGTGGTTGCTCGCCATCTTCTCCTGCGCGATCAGCACCTTCTCGCTCCCGTTAATCACAAAATACCCGCCCTGGTCGTACGGGCACTCCCCCAGCTCCGTCAGCTCCTTATCCGTGGCATTATGTAACGTGCAGTAATTCGATCTCAGCATGATCGGGATTTTTCCGATGAAGACTTTGTCGGCTTGCTCCGTGCTGACCTCCTCCTCGCCGTCCTCCCCGCGCGTGGTGATGGTCTTGGTAATGTCCACGTAGAGAGGCGCGGCGTACGTGAGGTTGCGCAGGCGCGCCGCCTTGGGGAACAGCGTGTTGGTCTCGCCGTCCGGCTCCGTCATTGTTGGCTTGGAGAGGTAGATCTGCCCAAACGTCACCTTGCACGTCATCTGGAAGGTGGGGGAGGAGGGGGGAGGAGGGGGGAGGAGGGGGGGAGGAGGGGGGAGGAGGGGGGAGGACGGGGGACGAGTGGGGCTTTGGGGAACAGCGTGTTGGTCTCGCTGTCCGGCTCTGTCATTGTTGGCTTGGAGAGATAGATCTGCCCGAAGGTCACCTTGCACGTCATCTGCAGGGTGGGAAACGGTCGGGTGTATCATTGCGTGTGATTACAGAAGCGTGGAGAATACAGCTCTACACTCTCTCAGGCTCTGTCATTGTCGGCTTGGACAGATAGATCTCCCCGAACGTCACCTTGCACGTCATCTGATGGGGAAGGAGAGGGCGGAGATGGGGGGAAGGAAGGGTGGGGAGGGGGTGTTAGAGGGGGCCTTTGGGGAACAGCGTGTTGGTGCTGCGCCTGCGGGCAGACCATCAGCACCCAACCCAACCCAACCCAATCCAATCCACCCGAAAAAAATGCAAGCGAAGCAACTCTTCAAACTGGAGATGCAAGCGAAGCAGCTCTTGTAACAGCTGTCTGTCTGTTGTTCCACCCGTAATACGCACATCCGTGTTGTCCATGGGGCGACCGCGGAGATGCTGCGCCTGCGGGCGTGACTGTGCTGTGCGGTGCGGTGTGCGAGAACAAAAAAGATGTGTTTTTGGCGAATGTACATCCGTGTTGTCCATGGGTCGCCCCGGAAGATGCTGCGCCTGCGGGCGGACCTCGATCTCCGCGGACTCGTCCACAATGCTCTGCATCGTGTCCTGAATGAACTTGTTGAACGAGTCCAGCTGCTGCCGCACCCTCACCACCCAACCCAACCCAAGCCAAGCCAGGCCAACCCAAGCCACCCCAATCCACCAGGAAATATCCAAGCAGAGCAGCCCCTGAAACTGCTGTCTGTCTGTCATTCGCTCCGTAACACGTACGTCGGTATTGTCCATGGGTCGCCCCGGAAGATGCTGCGCCTGCGGGCGGACCTCGATCTCCGCGGACTCGTCCACAATGCTCTGCATCGTGTCCTGAATGAACTCGTTGAACGAGCCCAGCTGCACCGTCACCACCCAACCCAACCCAACCCAACCCAACCGAACCCAATCCAACCCTTAAAACTGCTGTCTGTCTGCCGTTCGCCCTGTAATACGTACATCCGTGTTGTCCATGGGTCGGCCAGGCAGATGCTGCGCTTGCGGGCGGACCTCGATCTCCGCGGACTCGTCCACAATGCTCTGCATCGTGTCCTGAATGAACTCGTTGAACGAGTCCAGCTGCTGCCGCACCAGCCCCTTCTCCTCGAAGTACGCGCTGATCACCGCCCACGCGTCCTCCTGCGTAATCTCCTCCTCCTCCCGCTCCCGCTCGTACTCCTCCTCATCGCCTCCCCCGTACATCGCGCCGGCTTGCTTGTTCGTTTCCTACGCGCCGCTTTCTCGATGCGACCTAGTTACACCTGCCAAACTCGCAACTGCTGCTTTCGCGTACGCTGCAGCCGCGACTGCTCGACTCAAGCCTGGGCTGAGCCCGTCACTGCTCTACTCGCATCCAAAATATTGACGCTAGGTCAAGCTGAATCAATCCCGAAAGTACCTAAATTTAATCGACCGAAGCTGGCGTAAGCCTAGCTTAACCTGAGCAGAGGCCTCTACCCCAGAATATCCAAAAGCGGCCCACTTGACGCCACGATACGTTTATCTCGGCCTAATCAGCGAGGAGCTCAGCAAACCAGCTTCTAATCGCACTGCCGTTCTTCTTCCGATTGGCACGAAGACAGTTGACCTAAATTCGCTCTCGGCCAGGCTATGTAGAGAAAAAACGTTTTGCGGGCCAGCACTCGATAGGCGGTTGCGCAGCCCGCACTAGCCGCAAGACAAATCGGCTAGAGGAAGACACATCCACGGTGCTCCTCGCTCCAGCCACAGCGCAAGCGAAGCACGTAACTTCAGTGCTCAGCTCGACACCTCACGTGCTGCTTACGCAAAAAGTTATGTTTATGCTTGGCTTTTCAAGCTTTATACCATTGACAAGACGTGGAGGTTGGGTTGGGAGGGAGGGTCAGCTCAGAGCGAACGCACTGTTTTCGGGATAAGCCTTGGGATTGTCAATCGAACGGGTAGCTCCACAGAAAAGAAATATTAGGATGCGATAATATCGGCTCAGTGTAACACAACTACACGCCCACATCCTGCTCTAAACAGGGCGACGGACCCTTAATTTATAAGCAGCATATAGAGCCTAGTACACTAGTATTTCTGTTAGATTAGGTTGGAGTGGGGTGGATTTTCCTCTTGCGTTGACAATCACCACTTCATCAACTTAACACGTGCGCCTCAACAGGAGGAGAGAAAAAAACAAATTAATGTTCTAATTCACAGAAACATGAAGTTCTAAACCAAAAAGAACAAGTCCAACGCCAGGAGAGAGACGACCCATTGAAACAAAAAGCGAGACGGATGTGCGGGATGGGACAAAAACAGCACGACAAATGCAACAAACGGCAAGAGAGGAACAACAGCGCACTAGCAAACAACAGGAGAGTCGTCCGAAGCTCTTCCTTGCGCATCTCATCTCAACACACGCCTACCGTACCGAACCTCCCACCACCACATATTACTCCCATGCATCTCCACACAACACTTTCGTTGCGTCTCCACACAACAATTACTTGCACCTCCGCAATACACATCTCCACGCTTCACTTCCTCCCATCACGCCATCCATCCGCCTCCGAATCACCTGGCATACTTTCCTGTTACGCCCGCTCTCCTTTCACTGTCCCAAAATGCCGCCCTGCTGCTACTTCCCTCCACTCCAGACTTTTTCAACTTCCTGATTGCAGCTGCCAGTTTAGGTTCCTACCCATTCCGGAACCCCTCAGAATGGCCAGCTTGTGACAGCTCACGGTCCACCCCTTGTCCATCTCCCATCCAAAGTAACCCACCTATTCGCTTCCCCCCGTCTGCCTGTATCTGATTCAGCAGCTCGAGATGACCGTTTGAGTCCCTTCCAGCTTCCCCCGGTAGATCTCAACCATATTTGTTGCTCCAAACTCCCCCTTCCTACTTGCTCGCCCCCGTCTGCCTCGACCTGATTCTGCTGCTCTGCCGCACCGTTGCCAACCTAATCGCCTCCTCCCTGTCCCTCGCCTCCTGCTCTTTCAGTGCCTTCATCCTCTCTCTCTCCGCCTCCTTCTCCCTCCTCTCCCTCTCCTCCCGCTCCCTCCTCACTTCCTCATCCTCCTTCCCCTCCTCACCTTCCACACTCCCATTCTCCGCCACTCCTCCTCCTCCCCCTCCCCCATCTCCTTCTCCTCCTTCCCCCAACATCCCTTCAGGTGCGGCTGAGGTGACAGCAGCAGCCCCCCCACTTGTCCGGGCAGTTCTACCTCCCCCAGTAGCACCTTTCCTCCCTTTCTTCCCACCTGTGCCCTTGCCTCTGGGTGCCCTCGCCCTGCTACGTGCTTTACCTGCCCCCCTTGCGCCTGCGGACGCCTGCGACAGTTCTGATTCGTCCGCTGTTCCTTCACCTGTCCCTTCGCCTGCCCGTGCTTCTGCCCCTTCACCTGCCCCTTCGCCCGCCTCTGAAACCTCCTGCGAGGGCCCTTCTGCAGGTTCCTGGGAAACTTCCTGAGACGTCCCATTGCCCTGAGTTACACTCGCCATGATCACACCCCTTTCAGTCACATCCATTTCAGAAGCAGTCACTTCAGCTGCACCAATCTGCTCCTCATTGGTTCCTCTCTCACCACCTCCCACTCTCCCCACCTCTTCACCCCCCTCAGTCACTTCAACAACCGCATCCATCCCCTCCCCCTTGCCTCCTCCTGTCTTACCCATTGCTCCCTCACCCATTGTTCCCTCACCTACTGCTCCCTCACCTGATGTTCTCACAACTCCCACCTCCACCACATCATTTCCTAGCTCTTCCATTTGAATCTCCACTCCCCCTTTCTCCACATCTTTCTTTCCCACTTTCTCTTCTCCATTCTCTCCCCTTTTCTCTCCCCCTTGCTCTCCCCCTTCATCTCCGCTCCCCCCTCCAGTCGTATACTCCACCTCCATTTCATCCCCGCTGCGTTTTCCCTCCCTCCCTTCCCCCCCGTCCTTCCTCTCTCCTCTCTCCTCCTTCTCCTCCTCCCCAATGCTCTTCTCTGCTGTGTCATCATCCCCCCTCTCACCCTTCCCCTTATCTCCCTCCTCCCCACCATCCCGCTTTGCTCCCGGTTCTCCCTTCTCTCCACCCTCCCCCACCTCTCCCTTCTCTCCACACTTCCCCCCCTCCACCTTCACTCCTCCTCCTCCCCCTCCACCACCAGCTTTCTTACCAGCAGCAGCACCATCAGCAACAGAAGCAGCAGCAGCAGCAAAAGAGGCAGCAGCAGCAGCAGCAGCATCGTCACTACCAGCACCATCATCACCACCAGCACCACCAGCAGCACGAGCACCTGCCTTGCGTTTCCTGGAAGCCAACATACCGCCCACCGCTACAGCATGGTCAGCCCCCTTCCCGACCTCCTCCCCGTCCCCCTCACCTGCCTGCCTCCCACCTCCTCCGGTCGTTTTAGCATCACCATCTGCCTTCTTTGCATCGCCACCCGTCACCTTACCATCGTCACCTGTCTCCTCACCATCGTCTGAAGATTCAACAGGCAAGCTGGGCGGCTTGGATTCCTCAACAGCAGTAGCAGCAGCAGCAGCGAAAGCAGAAACCTGTTTTTTGCCTTTAGCTGCAGCAGCAGCTTTCAGTGTAGTTGACTTTACAGCAGCAGTTTTAGCAGCAACAGCCTTAGCAGCAGCAGCCTTGCCAGTAGCAGCCTTAGCAGAAGCAGTTTTAGCAGCAGCAGCTTTAGTGCCTGCAGAAGGAGCAGCAGTAGCAGGGCTGCTGACAAGCTTGGTGGCTTTGGCAGCAAAAGCAGAAGGTGCAAACAGGGCAGCAAGACCCGTCTGTAGCACTTCCGTCTTTACCTCCTGCACCTCCTCCTCCTCTTTCTGCTGCTCTTGCTCCTGCTGCTCCTGTTCCTCCGCATTCGCCTCCTGCTCCTGCTGCTGCGCCTGCTCTTCCTCTGCTCGCTCTTCCTTGTGCTGCTGCTGTCGACCCCGATGTTGCTGCTTTGTGCTTGCAGCACCCCTGCCTCTTGCCTGCTTAGGAGCCTCAACACTCCGTTGCTGCTGCTGCTGCTGCTGCTTTCTGCCTCTAGTCCTAGTTCTAGCACCAGAAACAGGAGCACTACCAGCAGCAACAGCACCACCGCCACCTGCACCATCACTACCACCCGCAGAAGCCGCATTGCCACCAGACTTAACACCAACAGTACCGTTGTCAGCAGAAACTGTAGCAGCAGCAGCAGCAGCAGCCATAGGAGCAGGGGCACCTGAAACAGAAGCAGGAGCAGCAGGAGCAGAAGCAGCAGCAGAAGCAGAACTGACGGCACTGTGTCTGGGAGGAAAAGCAGAGAATGTCATTCTCGGGAGCCGAATCACCAACCCTCTCCGCAGCACTACTCCTCTACTTCCTGCACCATTTCCACCCACATTCCCTGCTCCCTTCCCACTTATACCTCCTAGTCCTTCCTTCCCGCCACCCCCACCCCCACCGCCATCAGCACCAACAACACCAGCACCGTTCTCCTCACCCCCGCCACTACCACTATCGCCTTGCTGCAGAGCATTCAAATCTCCCCCCTCCCCTTGCTTCATCATCCTATCTTGCAGCTTCATTGTGCCCTTCTCATCCAACTTCTCCCCCTCAGACCCCACCCTTTGTCTCTTCACCTTTCCCACCTCTTTTCGAGTCGACTCGAGAACCTTCCCAACCTCTCCTCCCCCTTCCGCTCCTCCTTCCCCCCCTCCTCTCTTCCCTTTCCTCGGCTTTGCACGGCGGCCTTGAGCCTGCTGCTTAGGCTTGGACGCCTTCCGAACCTGCTGCGACGGTGGTACGGTGTGGGGCTGCCAGGCTGGCACTTTGCTAAGTGCACCGGCAGACGCTTTGTTAAACTCCACAACTGGTGGCGAAGCGAGATAAGCAGGAAGTGACATGTTTGATGCCGCCAAAACTTCACTAACGTGAAGGAATTTGGCAGTGACGGAGTAGCTTGTATGGGGGATGGATGGTGGCTTGTTCGAAGGGGGTAGAGATGAGAAGAGTAGGGAAGGGGGGAGGGAGAAAAAGAGTGAGGAGGAGGAAGCTGCGATGTTGGACGAATGTGGAGGGGATGGGTGAGTGGCTGGTGCGAGCCCAATACGAGACAGACATGCCTGCAGGCGTTGAGAAGGGGAACGGGACAGGGTTGGGACGGGGAAGGGGACAGGAAGGGGAGGGGATGATGGTTGAGTCGATTGAGAGGTTAGCATGGATGTGGAGGGGAAGGGTGAGTGGCAGGAGGGAGTCTAAGACGAGACAGACATGCCTGCAGGCGTTGAGAAGGGGACGAGGATGGGTTGGCATGGTGTGATAAGTCGATTTTTGAGTCGACTTATCACAAACGGCGTTGACAAGGGGACGAGGACGGGGTTGGCATGGGCAGAGGCGGAGGGGGGGTTGGCAGAGGGAAGGGGGGTGGGGTGGGGGTTGGAGAGAGGGAAGGGAGGCAATAACGGAGAAGGGTCAGGCAAGGGTGACGAGGAGAGGCGGGAAAGGATATACACACATAGAATAGAGGGGAGGGGAAGGGGTGGGAGGGATGTTGGGGGAAGTGGGTGGGGAAAAAAGAGGGGTGGAGAAGGGAAGCGGAAACAGGGGGAAGGAGAGAGGACTCACGTCAGCAGCTGTGCATGTGTGTCTGTGTTCTGCGTTCTGTGCGCAGTAGGTGCCTGTGTTCCTGCGTGAGTTGAGCTACTTGCTACTTGCTACTTGCTACTTGCTACTTGCTACTTGCTACTTGCTACTTGCTCCACCTAGAAAGGATGATCCCGCATCACTCACTCCCTCTGGTGACCCATGGCAAACACGAATCTTCTACGAGTACACACACAGTCATAGACTCATGAGAGCTTTGTGACTGTGTTTACTCCTCTGCCCCTGCCCTTACTGCCGCCCCTCACCCGCCTCTGAAACAGCCCTTGCTTACACGCCCTGACTTGTCAAAAACGCAGACTCACCTGAACCGCTCTGGCAGCATTTGCATCAACAGCAGGCAGGTGGGACATCGCGGCCTCTGCCCCTGGCCTTGCTGCCACTCCATCCGCCTCTGCTGCTACAGTATGCCCAGACAGCCCAGCAGCGGCTGCTGCAGCAGAGGATGGTACGGCAGCAGCAGAGGGCAGCAAACGCGCAACTGCACCAGCACCAGTTGCACCAGCAGCACCAACACCAACGCCACCAGCCATAGCACCAGCAGCACCAGCAGAACCAGCAGCACCAGCAGCACCAGCAGCACCAGCAGCACCAGCAGCAGCAGACGAAACCAGGAAAGGTGCCGTTCCTGCAGGACCCCCCATTGCCCCTGCCCCTGCTGCTCCTGCTCCCCTTGCTGTCCCTGGCCCCCCTGCTCCCCCTGCTACCCATGCCCCTTCTGCTCCCGCTCCTCCTCCCGCACCTGTTACCACTTCCCCCTCTTCTCCCTTCCCCATCGCCGCTGCATGCAAACACTTAGCTAAAAGTTCCCCATTCACCAGACCAGCAGCAAGAGGTAGAGAACCCAGAAGCCTCGCTACCGCTCTCACCTCCACCTTCCTCCCTGTCACTATCTCTTTCTCCTCTGGAGTTTCTCCCTCCTTCCCTCCTGCCCCTCCCTCCTCCTTCCCTCCACCTCCCCTTCCCAACCCACCATCCTCTCCCATTCTCCCAGCCCCAACCCCACCACCCATCCTCTCTCTCTCCTCCCTCTCCCCTTCCCGCCTTCCACCCACACCCATCCCCCCTAAAATCCCCCTCCCACCACCACCAACACCCCCTCTCCGACCCTCCCCATCCCGCAAAAACTCCCCTCTGCCCCTCCCCTCCCCATGCCTCTCTCCCGAACCTACTCTATGAATATCCCTAGGCCCTCCAAATTGCCCCACCCCTCCCATATCTCTGAGGCCCCTTCCTCCCCCAGGCATGCCTCCCCCTCCTCCCGGACCCATCAGGTTCGGCCCAAACCCAGGGCCGCCCGGGCCTCTTACTCCTGGGCCTCCCATGCCTCCCGGACCTCCCATCCAGCCTCCCGGACCTCCCAGGAACGGGGATCCCGAACCTGGCATTCCATCCCACATGCCCCCAGGAGGAAAGATCGGTCCCCGCCCTCCCATGCCGCCTCCCGGACCTCTACCTCCAGGTCCGGGCATGCCCGGGTGGGCGCCGAACCTACCGCCCATGCCTGGCCCAGGCATGGGGTGGTGGTGTGGCAGCACACCTGGCCCTCCAACAGAAACACCTGAAGGAACACCTGAGCCTGGGCCTGGGCCTGGGCCAGCACCTGGAGCACCTGGGAGGAGGCCAGGAGAGAGGGGACCCAGGGGGGGCGTGTTCAGGTGCCCCCCAGGCCCTCCAGATAAATTTCCAGGGTGTGACCAACGGTTTCTGCCCTGGTTCGCAGGCGGCTGCTGCTGATGCGGCGTCTGCGGTGGCTGATGTGGCACCTGCTGATGTGGCGGTTGCTTGTGAGGGATGGCAGAAGGTGGAAGAGAAGCGGGGGAGTGAGACGGCTGTTCCGGCTGCTGTTGCTGCTGCTTTTGCTCTTTCTGCCGTTGCTCCGAGTCAACGCTCTGTCTCTCCTCCTCCTCCTCCTCTTCCTTCACCTCCTGCCCCTCCCTCTCCTCCGCACCCTCCTCTTTCACTGCTTTATCAACCACTGCCCCTTTCACCCCTTCATCACCCTTACCCACTCCCCGCTTCACTTCCCCCTTGCCCCCTTCCTCCCCCTCGTGCTTCGATTCCTCTTTCCCGTCCTCCCCCTCCTTGCCCTTTCCATCCGAATCCTTTTCCTGCCTCTTCTGTTGCAGTTGCTGGTTCTGCTGCTGCTGCTGCTGCTGGTGCTGGTGGGGGGTCAAATTTCCCCCCATTCCTCCCATTGCCCCAATGCCCGGGCCCCCACCAACCCCCATGCCTCCCCCCATGTGCATTCCCATGCCCATATGCATGCCCATACCCATTCCCATACCTATCCCCATGCCCATGCCCATGCCCATCCCCATACCCCCACCCATGCCCATGCCCAAGCCTCCCATTCCCATGCCCATTCCCCCCATCCCAAATGGCATTCCCGGCCCCATCCCCCCACCCCTGCCCATGCCCTCCGGTCCCATTCCCCCCATTCCCCCCATCCCCTTCCCCCTCCCCGTCCCATCCCAAGGCCCCGCCCCTGCCCCTACCATACCTCCACCAGGGGAAATACCCCCTGAAATTCCCCCTCCTCCCCTCCCTGCCACGCCTTGCCCTGCCCCAGCTGATCCAGCCCCCCCCCCTCCCCCTGCGCTACCCCCATCTCCTCCCCCTGCCCCCCCTGCTCCTGCTCCTCCTGCCCCACTTTCCCCCTTCCCTGCTTCTCCCTCTTTCCCTCCCCCACCTCCAGCCCCGCTCCCTGCTCCTCCGGACTCTGCTCCTCCCCCCCCGGCACTGCCACTCTCCCCAGTTCCCCCTCCCCCAGTCCCCCCTCCCCCAGGGCCCCCGCCCCCTGCGCCTCCCATGCCCCCTCCCCCTCTCCCCTGCCCCCCCAAGCCTGCATCCCAGCTGATAATCCCCTCTCCTCCCCCTCCCTCCATATCCCCCCATCTTCCGCCTCCCCTTCCCCTCCCCTTCCCCCCACCTGCTGCTATTCCATCCCCCGGCCCCTTCCCCATGCCTCCCCCCCCCCCCTCCCCCCACGCCTCCCCCCGCCCCTGGTTTGAACCCCGGCCCAGGCCCCACTCGCCCAAACCCTAATTCGCGCATGTGCGCGCCTGCCCCTGGGGACCCCCCTCCGCCCGCGCCCCTGGGTCCCCCAGCCCCCAGGTGCGGGGGGAAGGGCGCGCCCATCATCCCCCCGCCCCCAGGGAAGGGCGGAACCCCCGCCCCTGAACCCAGCCCCCCAGGAAAAGGCATTCCCGGACCTGGGAACCCATGAAAAGGGGGGAAGCCGCCTGGGGGAGGCATACCTGGGGAAGGCTGACCTCCTGGCCCCACAAGACCCTGCCCTCCCGCTCCCCCTCCCCCTGCTCCCCCCATTCCCCCGCCCCCTCCCGCCCCTGCTCCGCCTCCTGGGCCCGGTTGCCCCCTAGGGCCCGCCATTCCCCCCCATCCGGGCAGAAATCCCTGTGGCCCTCCCCCTCCGCCCCTCCATGCTTCCCCAGGGCGCAGCGTCCCGCTGCCCCCTCCTTCCCCCCGCCCCATGACTCTTGGTCCGCCCATTCCCCTCCTCCCCGCGCCCCCAGGCCCCATTCCCCCCATTCCCCCTGGTCCCCCAGGCCCAGCCATCCCCCCTGCTGCTGCTGCTGCCGCCGCCGCTGCTGCTGCTGCTGCTGCGACGTTGCCGGACCTGCCAGGGGCAAGCAGGCATTCCGTACCTGCGGGTAGGTTCGGCGGAGCAGGGAGAACAGAGGGTGCGTCTATACCAGGGCGGAGGGGCGGGGGAGGGGGGAGGGAAGGGTCGGTGGACGCGTCAGCCCCGCCTCCCCCTCCTCCTCCTCCCCCTTCTCGTCCCACTCCTCCTCCTCCCCCTTCCCGTCCTCCTCCTCCTCCTCCTCCTCCCCCTTCCCGTCCTCTCCTTAGCCCAGGAGCCATATCAGACCGCCCTTGCCACTCCCCTCCCCCTCCTCCTCCTTCCCCTCCTCCCCCCCCTCCTTCCCCTCCCCCTGCCACCCCTGCTCCCCCTGCTCCTCCCCCTCCTCCCGCTCCCACTCCTCTCCGCCCCTCACCCATCCCCCTGTCCCCATCAAAGCCTCCTTTCTCCCCTTCCATCTGACTCTCCCTGTCCCGATCTCGCCCCCTCTCCCTCTCCCGTTCTCGCTCCCTGCCCCTCCTAGCCTCGTCTACCACTGCACCCTCCCCTGCCACACTAGAACCCATGACTGACCCCTCTCTTTTCGCCCTCCCCATTCTCTCCCCTCCATACTCATCCTGATACATCCCCCCTCTCTCTCTCTCCCTTCCCCCTTCCCACTCTCTTTCCCTCTCCCTATCCCTGTCCCTCTCTCCTCTCTCCCTCTCCCTCCTCTCCCACTCCCGCCTTCCCCACTCACCCTCCCTCTCCCTCTCCCACTCTCGCTCCCGGTCCCAATCACGATCCCTCTCCCACTCTCTCTCCCTCTCCCTCTCCCCATCCCTTCGCAATCGTCCCTCCCGACCCGACCACCATCTGGCCTCCCTTTCCCCTCTCTCCCCTCTGTCACCCCTCTCGCCCCTCTCGCCTCTTCCCCCCCTTTCCATCCTCTCCCCTCTTCCCCCCCTCTCCACTCCTTCCACCCTTTCCCCTCTCTCTCCCCTCTCCACCCTCTCCCCCCTCTCCCCTCTTTCCCCTCTCTCCGCCTTTCTTCCAGCACCAAAAGTTCGACCGCTCTCCTGCCTTTCAACCCTCCTTCCCCCCCTCCCCCCATGCCCCCTCCCCCCACGCCCATACCCTTCGTCCTCCCCTTCTCCCTCCCTTTCCCCCCCCTCTTCATCCGTTTCTCTCCCCTCTTCCCCCCTCTCCTCTTCATCCTCCTCCTCCCCAATACCTACTCCTTTCCTCGTTCTCCTCTCTCCCTCATCCTCCCCAAAACCCTCTCTCCTCCTCCTCCTCCTCCGCTTCCTCTTCCATTGCTCCTCATCCTCCTCTGCCTCTTTGTCCCATTTCCCCCCACCCTCCCGCCCATCCGCTCCCCACTCCTCCTCACCCTCTTCCCCTTCCAGCCCTTCACCTCCCTCTCTTCTCCCTCTCTCCTCTCTCTCTCTCCTACGACCTCTTGCCCCTCTCTCCCCTCCTTTCTCATTCTTCAACTGCTGCTGCCAAAGCCGTCCTTCTCCAATCGACCCCTCCCTTTCCCCCTTCTCACCCTTCTCCCCCTTCTCCCCCTTCTCGCCCTCTTCTCCCTTTCCTCCCTTCGCGCTCGCTGTCCCCCTCTTTCCGCTTCCATCACCCACCTCTGCCCTTTCCCTTCCCTTTATAAGCAGCTTTGAACCCACAAAACCAGCGTCACCAGCAGCACCAGCAGCAGCGGCAGCAGCTGCACAAGCAGCAGCAGCAGCACCACCCTTCCCTGTCCCCACTAGTTTCAGCCCCTCTTTCGCCTCATCCCTTTCGCCTCCCGTCGCCCCCTCCCTCCCCGCTGCCTCCGCCTGTGCCCGCCCCTCGCTCTCTCTTGCAGGCGCCTCAAACGTGCGTCCCTGCCTTGCCTCGCGAGCAACGGGAGCCTCAACCTTCCCCTCGCCCTCCCCACCCTGCCCCCGCTTGCTGCCTGGTCCCTCTAGCCTCAGACCCCGTCTCCCCAGCACAGTAGAGTCTGCAGCAGCAGCATCACCGGTCACAGCAGCAACACCGCCATCAGCAGCAGTAGCAGCGGCGGTGGCAGTAACGCTGGCAGCAGCAGCAGCAGCTACGGTCAGTTGTGCAGATACAATGGTATCATCACCACCACCACCAATAGCAGCACCACTATTATCAGCAGCAGTAGCAGTAGCAGCAGCAGCACCACCACCACCACCACCACCACCACCCAACAACCCACTCTGTCTCTGCTTCGAGTAACTCTGATTCAGAATCGCCAGTCCCTCTCCCAGTGCTCCCCTTTCCTCCTTCGCTGCTTCCTCCTCTTCCTCTTCTTCCTCCTCCCCGCCTTCTTCCTCTTCCTCCTCCATTTCTCCTGCACCTTTTCCTTGAGCCCTTTCCACGAATCTTCTCATCCTACCAGGCTTAGAAGACCTTCCATCGGTCTCACCTTCCCCTGATAACACCTTCCCAAGCTTAGCTCTCTCAGTTGATACCTTCACCACCCTTCCCCCCCCTGCTTCCACCTCCCTCACCACCCTGTCGGCACCCTCGTAGTCGCTAGGAGCATTTGTACTCTCTTTAAGCCTCTCCGTTTCTGCTTCCAGCCCAATTTCGTTCTCCACACCACCCTTCTTTCCCCCATTCTCCCTATCCCTCCGCTCCTTCCTCCCATCCCCAACCTTCTCTCTCCCCCTCTCCCTCCCCCTCCCAACCCTCTCCTTGCCTTTCCTCCCCTCCTCCTCACCCTCCTCTTCCTCATCCTCCCTCTTCCGATCCCTGCCCCACCTCCTCCCTTCTCCTCTCCCCTTCTCCTCTCCTTCATACTTCTCTCCGTCCTTAATAAACGAAGCCCTACCTTCCCGTCCGCCCGCCTTGACACCCTTTCCACTGCTCCTGGGACCTGACACAGGACTACCCTCGTCTTCCTCCTTGTGCCGCTGCTGACGCCCCTTCTGCCCCTTGCCTCTCTCCTTCCCCACGTCCCGCTGCTCGTGCTCTGAGGGGAGAAAGGTAATTGGGAAACAAGGGGATGAGGGAAAGGTGAGACGGGAGGGAAGGGTAAGAAGAGGGGAAAGACGGGCGACGCGTGAGCCAGGAGAGAAGGGGAATAAAGTTGCAGATTGAATCCTCAACATTATTCATGTGACGGTTCATGTGAATGTTCCAAGATGCAGGTGAATGACGATACATCAACATGTGGTGGGTAAATAGGGGGCACACCTGACGAAGACGACAGCCCAGGCGAGTCTGCTCGTCTGCCTCCTCGTTTCCCATGCCTCCACTCCCTACGCTCCCCTTCCCCGCCATAATCACCACGCCTATAGTCACCCTGCCATTCCTCTTCTGCATCCCTCCTCCTCCTCTCCTTTCCTCTTACCCCTTCCTCCCGTGCTTTCCCCCTGTCTCTCTCCCCATCTCTGTCACGCTCCCTGTCCCTTCCTCTCTCCCTCTCTCGCTCTCGTCCCCTTCTCTCCCTCTCCCTGTTCCTCCCCTTCTCCCGGTTACCATGCAATGCTGACCCACCCTCAACTTCCTCCTCATCTTCCTCCTCCTCGTCCTCCTCCTCATCTCCTCCCTTCCCTTCCCTCCCTTCCACCGTTTCCTCCCTTCTCCTCACCGGATTCAACTCCTCGTCACCGGCGTCATCCGCCCCCTTGCCTCCCTGCCTTGCTCTTCCGACCCGGCCACTCCTTTCCACTCCATGCCTCCTCTCTTTAACACTCACAACAACATCGTTCCCTCCACCACCCCCCCTCTGTCCCACTTCCTCCTGATCATCCCTTCTCTCCCTCCCTTCTTTCTCCTCCTCCTCACTCCTCGTTTCCGCCGCCTTTCTGCTCCCCTTCTCCCTCCGCTCCTCCCGCCGCGAAACCCCCGGCTTCTCCTGTTTGTCCTCATACGTCCCTATTAAAGCCTCCGTGGTTAATACCCCACCTTCCCCGAACCGCTCTAGGTCTTCAGGCGCCTCGAGATCCTCGAACAGCGGGCTCCGTGGCGCCTCGAAGGCGACCTCGATCGCATCGATGTCCACGAACCGCGCGTTCCAGTGCGCATCGTCGTCGCCATCGTCGCCCGCGTCGCCCACCTGCCCTGCGACAGGCCGTGCGACAGCCGCCGCCTGCGACGTCTTCTGCGACGCCTTCTGCGACGCCTTTGCTGCGGGATCCGCCTGAAACGACAGCTCACGCCGACCGTCACCGCCTCCCTTCCCTTTCAACCGCGCAAAACCTCTCTCCGGACTCTTTCGCCGACTGCGATCCGGAAAATCATTTCTATCACCGACATCATGGCTCTTATCCGGACTACCGGTTCCCCTATCCCCCTTCTCCAATCGGTGCCTTCTCCGGCGTTTAGACTCCCTATCGTCGTCCCGGTCGCGGCTCCTCTCTCCTTCGATCTGCCGCTGACGATCCAGCCCCTCGCCATTCTCCTCCTCCTCCCTGCTATGCGCGCGTTTCGCGGATCCGGAAGACCTATTTTCGGAATGTCGGTCCTTTCGGTAAGGAAAGGAGGCAGCCCCGCTGCCGCCTATTGGCGTCGCGAAAGTAGCTGTAGCAGCTGTAGCGGCTGTAGAAGGGACGGTTGGAGGACCTTCCGCCACGTCATTGTCGCGAGAAGCTTCGTAATCTGACGCGGATCCCGGCGATTCATAGTCGTCCGATTCGTTGTGCCGGCGACGCGTGTGCCTGGATCGGTCCTTATGGCGATGGTGGTGGTGGTGGTGGTGACGGTGACGGGATGTATGATGCGAATCCGTGTGGCCTTGCCTGCTACGACCGTGCGATTGCTTCCCCTCCTCGTGCTGTTGCTTCCCATCGTCGCTTTTCCGCCACCGTCGTCTCTCCGCTGCGGCTCCTTCGCCGCTTCCTTCCGCGTCGCTAACGTCCGGATCGCTCGCGTCGTCCGCCTTCTCCCATCGGCTCGGACGGCGCATCGCACGGTGCTAACAGAAGACAGAGTCCGGGTCTAGAGGAGGACAATTACCGCCTAAACTGCCATACGAAACAGCTAATTAAGTAAAGACACCTTGCAGAACGCCAATGGAGACCAGCAGAAACCCTAAAGCAGAGACGTGGGTGGGAGTGGCATCATCTTGTAAGAGTGGAGTGGTTGTGGAGTGGATTCAACCTTGGGATTGGATCGCCAGCACATGAAAGCATAGAGAGTGTACTCTTATTTTCTCATGCCTGTTTAACGACGTTATTACTCGTGTTGCTGCTCCGTACATTTGCACTCCTCATCGCATATTACTTCAACGAACGGTGCGTATAACGAGTCTGATCGTGGTTTTCCTTGTGATAAAGCAAGATTAGTTCTCCCTTCACTCGGTGCCATGCTTAGCAAAAAGCGAGAGACGAAAGGTGCGAAAAGGTGCATGAACCGAACTGAAGAAACCTTTGAGCGTTACTGTACTGAACAAAGATTACGGCCGAACCTTGTCCAACCATACTCCCCCAAACCCCCCTTTCCGCTCCGCTCTCCAGAAAACGCCCCGCAAAGGCAGCCGCACATTACAACGACCTTTCGGCAACATCCGCATGCGCCGCGTGCGCCGCGTGCTCCCCTCCCCCTTCCCATTTCTCCGCGTGCTTACCCCCCGCTTTCCCCGTTCAGGCCAGCCCGTAGCACCCCCCTTTCTCCCATAGCCAGTTATCCGCGCCACATCCGCCAGAGGTTCCTTAGCCACAGAAGCTCACGCAAACACTACACCTGCATCCACTCATAACCGTACCATACCGCAATGTATCGTGTGGTGTCTCCGTTTTTCTGGACAACCCTTCCTCTCCATCTCCAAGAATGTGTCGAGTATTTTCTCAAGCTCTCCTCCTAGCATTTTATCTCCTCTCGCCTTGCTTTCTGACCAGCCATATTCCCGCCTCTCCAGAGTGACTGACGAGTTCGACTCGTGTCCCTGACGAGAAGTTTCCTGCGAAGCATCACTATGTCGTGCGGGTGGACGCGTCGTGCGACGGCTCTAGTTGTGCGACGTGTCGCATAGGCTGCGTCCTTGCTTCTCGCTGCCTGCGATTCCTCTCGAAGCTTTATTGCGAAGCTTTTCCGTACAGATCGTTTACCGTTGGAGCTGTGAGGCGGCTTTGCGACGGTGGTGGTATTTTCCGCATTCGCGCCATTCGCAATCAATCGTGCTAGAGTCTCCTGTGACCGGTCAAGAAACGTCCAGTCGAAGTCGGCAGTGCGTCTGCGCGAGGCTTGAGATTCGTCTCGGGAATCCCGAGGCTTGTGAATCAGCTCGAACATCGGCACCAAGTCAGCCATGGCTTCCATGGTGAGCTCGTCCTCGCAGTGTATCGTTTCGATTCACCCCGTCCGCGTGGTCTGTGGGATATAAATGGTTTCTTCTCCCTCTTGGACCCATCGGTCCGCCGGTCCTCATCCTGACATCCTTCCTTACGCGGACAGTGGAACGTGCGTCATTTCACGGTTGAGTCAATCGGTCCTCCTCCGTCACTTGGGTGAGATATTCAATATCGCGGCGAGTCATTCTTTGAGGCGACTTATAGAAGCGCGGCGAGTCATGTTGTAAGATAAGCGAGACTTTGCTTCACTGGAACGAGTTGACTTTTGAGTCGACTCAAATGTAAGATAAGCGAGACTTTACTTCACTGGAACGCTCGCTCGGCGAAAGCTTTTATTTTTAGTCTCCAAACTCAGCCATGCACTCCATATTGCTCTACCAAACAACCCACAGCCATACGCTCCGTGATTTCAATCCCTCATCCTTCCCCTCCTCTTCCCCCCTCCGTGCCTCTTCAGCATGCCCTGCCCGTTCCGCCGAGCCAATGTAACCCCGTATGCCTTCTGTCCTCGCTGTCTCCCGTTTGTCCTCGTTCTCCCCCCCGCTTGATCCAGGCTGTAGCGTCGGCGGCAGCACCGGCGTCAGAAGCGGCGATGGACTGTGCTGCAGCCATGCAACCTTCCACTGAGGCGCTCTCTTATCGTATCGGAGGCA